TGATAGAAATCCCAAGAAACTTCACACCTCTCTGTGGGGACTATAAATAGGCTCCATCTGTGCCCCCAGGCTCAGTTACAGCCTCATTACTTTTGGCATGGTTGGAGGGCAGTGAAGGAAGCGCTCTGGATTTTGAAAAGGGTGGGGTGGCGGGGGGGAGAAGGGGGAGGAGCCACAGATCCAGAATCTACTCTCTAGTCAACACAGGTGGCCGACTGGGTGACCTCTCCTGCATTTTTTAGCGGCAAAAGGAAGCCCACCGATTGCTCTCTGTCACTTAATTCCCTTCAGCGACACCAACGAAGCTTCAGCACCCCACAGAGGCAAAGTGCCACAGACCTGGGAGCATCAGCCATCTTTGGAATCTCAAACCACACTACACTCATCGCTTATTTTTTTTCTCAAGCTCAGGTTCTTCACATTTCATTAATCATGCTCAGAGCTGGGGTAGGCGCAGGCACTGTGTCTTTAAATCTGCACCAGTGTCGTCTCCCTTTCACAGAATCTTAATTCCCAGCTTGAAGTTTAATGGTTGATATTTCAGTCCTGGTAGTATTAACTTGAAAGACACATTTCTGAGTTCACACTGGGGAACAAATTAGAGATACTGTGAAATGAATCTGAGAGCAGTTATAAGTGATTTAAGTCAAACTGACAGTTATAGTTCATGTCCTGAAACAAACCTGGAGGTGGTATTGTGAAATTTCAACTTGCACCCTCAGGATACATTTTAGTGTGACAGATCTAAGCAGACTAGATTACAAAGAAAAATCTCTCTTTTTGAAAACAGGTTTTCTTCAATCTAAAGATACACAATCCAAGAAAGACATTTTACCTTCATAAATCATCCTAGTGTTTCACAGATTCTATTTTATTCTATGAACATCATTTTTTTTGTCTGTATGCAAGATTTTGTAGCCTGCAGCATTCCTCTCGTACGTACTAAATTGCTTCAAAATGCTCATGCAAATCGGGGGAAATTATTTAAATTAAAATACAGCTCGCTATTAATAGTTTTTAGTTTAAAAGCACTCCATTTGTTCGTGTCTATTCTGTCCTCAATGTTGGTTGTTTTACATTATTGTGTGCTGATGCTTGTCCCAATTATTACAAAGTGAAAACTGATGTTTCATTAGATCTTATTCCGATCAGGCTCATAACGACTTTTGTGATGATGCTGTTTAAAACTGAGTTTCTCGTCATTTCTACAACAACCTTTAACTAGACTTAATGAACTTATTGCACGTATATTAGTTGTTAGTGGAAAATAAGGAATGACTGAATGAATGTTGGCCAGCTGGAGAAGCAGACTTCCAAAGAAGGAGAGCAGGTCAAGGAACAAAATATCCATAGCTCTGACAGCTGTCATTTATGCTCCTGGCCCTAACTAGGATACTTATAGTCCTGAATTGTTCTGGGGGGAAAGACAACAAACAAAGCATCGACTAGTAGGACTTATTGTACTCAGTGTTTCGTAAAAAAAACGTCACCTTGATAAACAATGTGGGAAAATCCCTTAAGACCGTTTCACCTGAGCTTTAGTTCATTTTACGGATATATACAGTGTGCCCATTAACACTTTATGGTTGATTATAGGTAAACTAGATGTCACTTTATGCATACAAAGATAAGGAAATGCTTCAACAGCTTTTATATGAATTGACCTGTGAATTTGTACTGAGAATCAAGGATTAATCCTGGCTTTTAGTTTATACATTTATTTGAATCAGGGACAGTGTAAAAAAAAACCCATCATGGATTAATTCTGGCTTTTGTGATCCATTGACTTAAGCTGTAGCAACAATCACAGGGTTTTTACCAAATGTCTGACAGCTATTGAATAAAGTGCCATGATTTGGGGGAGAGATTAATGATGCAGAAGTTGGTACCCTAATTTGACTTTGGTGACCACTAGTGTTTTCTTGTTGGGAAAACTATCAGTCATTGTTTGTAGGTCAACTAACTTTTCAGATGCTGAAGAAAACCAGCTTTTGGGCATTGACTTGTTTAACATGTCAGCATACTGACCTAAGCAGAGTTCAAAACACTGCTTTACCCAGAGCCAGTAGTCTAAAGTCAAACAGAGCCAGTAGCATTATGGGTGATCACGGCTGCACACCCTCAGTCTAATCTTCTGGTTTGTTTACGAGGGAACATCTTGCACACAGGTGATGAGTGTAGTCGAGTTTACAGCGGGCGTTTATGCATCACAATAAACATGTTAACTCTGTATTTTTTAAATAGACTAGGACCAAAAATGACTTAGTTAATAAAATGCAACAGTGTTAAAGTGGCAACAAGTTCATCTTTACCTTAGAAGTGCTAACTGCAACATGTCGACACGTAAAAACAAAACATTTTTAGCCTTGCAGATCGAGGACCTTTTCTCCTGGCATGTGTCACTTTTTTCACCTTCCTTGAAAGTTGAAGCCCATTCCCTCCTCTTAAAGAATTTACATCACGTCTCACGTATGCCCCCCCCAAGAGGAGCTGGAGACTGATGGTGGATAAGTAAAGAGTTACATGTTTATCCAGTGGGGGATGATTGTATATATCTTAACTAATGCGATACTAGGAAAGCCTCAGTAACAGTACACTCAGACATATTTAGGAGGATGTGTGTGTGTGTGTAGAAGGTTGAAGCAAACGCACACAGAAGACCTATAGACTCTTTGGAAAAAGTCCTATTTATGGCAGCTGTAAGTGATGATAGCAGACAAACTGCAGGTTAAGTGAGGCAGCACTACTAATTCACAGCACACTTGTGAAATCAGCCTTACAAAAACACACTATGTGGACCCATTAAATAGATAGCTTGATTTAAATTAAACTGTGTTCTGACTTATTAAACACTTTTCAGTTGATAATAAAGTTGGACTTGTTTTCTCAAGAGGTACCTTCTGTTAAGAATGCCTTGCTACGGCATGCTGCTGAATTCATTAAGATTCTATAGTGGTGCTCAGATTGGACTGCAGCACAGGTGCAAGGCCGGGGCAGAGTTTCTATAGGGGGAGGGAGGGTAGTGAGTGAGTGAGGGGAAGTCAGAGTCAGTGAAGGTGCTGTGGGGTGCCTCGGGTGAGTCCAGATGACAGCTGAGGGGCTGAGGCTTTCTCTGGCTTGCCCTCGTGGAGATGGGGTCAGTGAAAGCAAGTGGGGGCTAGGGGGACTATAGGGAGGTTGAAGTTATGCAGGTCCTTCGTCACCAAGCCCCTGTCATGGTGGTAGTGGGGGGGGGGGGGGGTAGGGCTGCACCGCTGGCACTGGGAGACAGATATAGACAAGAATTAAGGAGACAGAATTTGCACTCTTAGCCTTGTCTGGGTTACTGGCATCAGCAGCTGAGCGCTCCACTAGACCTGCATCTCCCTGTGCTTTTACGTCACATCCTCCTTGACGTCTCCCCTGACATCTCCCCCACTAGCCAGGAGCCCAAAATTGAACACAGGTGCTGCTGCACCCAACATGCATTGTTACTAGAAATAAACAAAGGCACATTATACGATCTGAAAGACAACACTTCCACCACCTGCCAGCTTGAAGTCTGCTTTCTGGACAAGTCTGATCAGTTTCTTATTTCCTCACAAGATGCAAGAGAGCTGATTATCAGCACGGCTATAAGACAGTCATTTGCTGATAATCAGTAGAACAGCATGTCTGCATACTTTCATTCAACACTTCTACGAGCAGCATAGCAAAAAGTAGTAAGCAAAATATATTTAGATATTTTTATTAAATTATTTATTTTGCATAGCATTCATAACTCAATTAAATTTCCAAGATGGGATGATGCCAGGCAACACAATCATTCTCTGGCATACAAGTTAGTTTGTGTTTTCCTCCACAGTAATGCAGAACATCCCATATGTTTATATATTTGTATGCTTCTGTTGATCATGCCACTTGTAAAATAAAAGTCTTCAGTTCCTTTGGTGACTTGTACTGATGCACATTCTGGGCTCATCTGGGAGACACGTTCGGCTCATCTACACAAAGGCTGGGTAATGATATTTTAAATTATGGTAGACAGAACGCCTGAGGCACATCTCAGCTGTGTTTCAGGAATTCATCAAAACCATTATACATTTACATTTAAACTTTATTTTTAAGCTTTATTTTTGCACACTTTAGGATGAATGCCACAGTTCGAGTAAAGTTCATTTCAATGCAATGCTTTGCTACAAAGCAGTTTGTGAATATGGAGCCAGTTTAGGAGAGCTGCAGTTAGAGATAACATGTCAAAAATAATCCTGCACTGTAACTGACATTTTTAAAATAACATCCAGCCTTTTGAATATTACGTGTGATGCCAATGTGAGGATCTGTCTTTAAAGATGAATGTAGATTGGAAAGTCATTAAATTCAGTTTATAGTTTAAAGTTTATACATGTCCCATCTACACTGATTCTTAAGTGCTCAGGAAAAAATGACTCTGGAAACTTCTCTTATACTCTTACCAGTAACTTAGCTCTGACCATTCACTGAAACATAAACTGCTATCTGGCCGAGGATCATGTTCACCGAGAGAGAATGTTGTGTAATTCCACATCTGATCTTCTATTTACTTCTCTTTAAAAGCTTCTTTCTCACATCGAACTTGAAACTATGAAGGACGCAAAATATTAATTTCTTTAAAAAAATAAAATAATCTTAAAGGTACACCATCTTCCAATAGTCGAACGTGTCTCCCAGATGAGCCCAGAATTTGCGTAAAGCTGCGCGACGCTTTGCGTAAAAGTGGAACTTATCACTTATGGTCCACAGGAAATGTTTTGACCCGAGATAACCTTTCACATGTTTTCGTTCTTGATTCAAAAGGATTATGGCAAAACACTCTCTGGCCCGCAGCCAAATATTCCATGTTTAGAGAGTACCCCTCCACTCACACACACCCCTCCCATCAACTATCCAATCCTTACACGGGGACAGCGTCGACGGGGGTCAAGCGGAAAAATAGCCTCATATATATACGCCCAAACGGTGATATCTTGCTCCGAGTCCCCTCCACTCAGTCCTTGTGTTGTCAGGTGTTTGTTCAGGAACGAACTAGTTCTACTATCTGCTAAAATGGCACCAAAGAAGGACCCTAAGGCTCCCGCCAAGGCCCCCGCAAAGGCCGCAGAACCTGCACCAGCACCCGAGCCAGCACCTGCACCTGCCGCAGCTCCCGCTGTCGACCTGTCCGCCGTGAAGGTACACTGTCCGTGAAAGTACAAGCTTTGCTGTGGGGAGGGATGGAGAGTTGATGATGGCTGCACAGGAAGAGCTGGGGTTTGAAAGATTTTAAACGACTTTCGTGAGTCCCAGAGGGGTCATGGAGGTCTCCAACACTAAACAACTATCTTTTATATTGTTTTAATCCTCACAATTGAAGAACGGATGAAAATAACAATGGCTTACTTTGAGCATAGCTGTACATTTATTTACACTGTGATTGCGGCCATTGCATGTGCAACCTAGGAAAGACAATTGAGGTGTTGAGGGCTGTCGCAAAAGCCTTTTTAGTTTAATTAATTTATGCAAAGATTGGAAGAGCAAAGAGAAAACAAAGTTTACACATTTATTGGAACATTTTTTAGTGGAGCCTCAGCTGTGATGTAGTAGAACAGCTGCACGTTTGGAGGACCACACTCAGAGGTCTAATGAGACAGAGTAGAACCATGGAGAGCTCAGTGCGTGCTAGACCACGCCCCCCAGATCTCTTGATTGGCCTCAGAGAGAAGTGACTAATGTCTGAAGGCACAGCAGGGTGACACCAAATGTGGACATGTTAATGCAGCTAAAGATGGACCTCCAGAGATCCAGTGCCGACATGTGAATCTAATTTTGGCAAAGAGACAAGTTCTATCCCTGTGTAAGCCAAATTAATTAAAGTGGATAAATGGAAATGCCTAGTTATGTCAGTCTTATGAATTAAAGTTGTGTTGTGCTGTGTTGAAATTCTTGCAATGTATGTCTGTAACTAATATGGCTGCTTCGCATTGCCTTGCAGATTGAATTCAGCGCAGACCAGATTGATGGTAAGTACACCTCATTTCACCTTTGCACACACAATAAAGATGCACATTCACTCGATGTCAGCCTGCATGCACAATGTCTTCACAATGGATCTAAAAGTGCTCATAGCAGATGGTCACCCCTATTTATTTATTGTTTTGTTCTGATTTTGGCTTTATGAAGCTTTGAATCAATTTAAGTATCATTTAAATTCTAAGTACAATATTCAATGTAAAAAAAAAACGTTTCAAACTGTGCAAAAGAAGTGAAGGTAAATAAAAAAAAATTGTGATTGTGAGCTGCAAACCTTGCAACATTTTGCAAGTTACACTGTAACAGAAAATGAATGTATTGTGCATTCAATGCTAATATTTTGCAGGGTTTCATTCAAAACCAGTCAAAATGATTGCACTGATTATCAAACAAAGTAAATTAGCTGGTTTCAGGTAAAAAGGGATTCACAAATCAATCCAGCCAAACCCTTGGACCTGATATCACAACATTTTTCATTGGCTGTTTGTTTGCGGCACGGGGCCCCATGTCACTAAATCAATAACCCATACAGGTGCAAATACATATTATCATTTTAGTCAAAACAAAATATTACAGCTCTTTTGAGGTAATTACATAGATGCAGATTGGAGTCAAATAAGGACTGTAAGATAACAATAAAAAGTCTGGCGGCTGCTTGTTACACTGCAGTCAGCATTCCCTTCCTCTACTTAGCCCCAACCCCCTCCCACATAGGGCCTTGCCTTTAAAAGGAGGGGGCTCATATTCTCAGCTATGTTTATCAATTCCAAGGTGGTCTTTTAAAAGAGCCCATGGCTCTGCTGGGAGAGAGACAGAGAGAGGGAGGGAGAGAGAGAGAGAGAGAGGAGACAGCTGGGATAGAAATAGTAGGAGAGGTGACAAAGCTCGACAGGAGTCATTCCATTCAGCTTTTTATACCACCACCTATGGAGATGTTTTGTCCTTCTTACACATGTCCATTGTCAGTTAATAGAGAGGCTGTCTCCACCTGCTGGCAGGCTAGCACAAAGCTACACTTCACACAGCAAGCTGCCTTCATTACTATACCCTGAAAGGTTTAAGGGTTTATTTATTAAAGACTTTTTATGCCAGGACAGTGAGAGTGGGAAATGACAGCCACAGGAGCCACAGGTCAGAATTTAAACCAAGCTGCCCGCTTGGAGGAGCACAGCCTCCCTACATGGGGCGCAGGCACTAACTACTAGGCTGAAAGGCACCCTGAAAGGCGCTCATTAAAAAATGTAAACATGAGATTACTTTGAAAATAATTTTCTAAATCGATTTCAAAACCAGAAATACAAGTAAAAAGTGTTGTTCAGGAGACGCCAGTTGCCTAGTGGTTAGTCCGTGCGCACCAATGTACGGAGGCTGTGGTCCTCAAAGTGGGCAGCCTTGGGTTTGAATCCAACCTGTGGCTACTTTCTCGCATGTCTCACCAGCTCTCTCTTTATCCCTGATTTCTAACTCGGGCCACTTTCCTATCTCTGAATGAAGGCATTAAAAAGCCCCCCCAAAATAAAAATAAATAGTTGGTCAAGTTTATGCAATAAAATTAAAATAGCTGATTCAATGCCAATTTTACTCCTGTCTTTAGTGTTGATACTACATGATTATTATAGTAGGTAAAAATGTGCATACTTTTTTATTTGGTTAAGTATATTGATGTGAAAATATTAACTAATATAATACTATTTGATTGTGTTAACTGTAGTTTATGAGCCAAAACAAATAACATATAAAAACTTCATCTTATGAATATATACACTCACTATTGAAGCCCTAACAAACAGAAATCAGCTGATGAACATGCGAACACTGGATTCATCGAGGTGCTCTCTCCTCGCTTTTGCTTTGCAGACTACAGGGAGGCCTTCGGTCTGTTCGACAGAGTAGGTGACAACAAGGTGTCTTACAGCCAGATCGCTGACATCATGCGCGCTCTGGGACAGAACCCCACCAACAAAGAGGTCGGCAAACTGCTTGGAAACCCCAGCGCTGAGGGTAAGAAACTTTTTCAGTATTAGCTCAATCAGAGACTCAGCTGAAGTTTGTGAAATGTGTTATATTGAAATCTGATCATTTTAAACCAAACTGTCAGTGAATAAAAATGTTCAGTACTCTCCAACTAAATACACTGAAAGTAGTGTGCAGACATGTATGATACTACTTTTTTCCTTTTTTTTTTTTTTTAATGTTTAACGGAGATATTATGTTCTTACTTTTTCAATGTCCTTTATGCAGACATGACCAGCAAGAGAGTGGACTTCGAGGGTTTCTTGCCCATGCTCCAGTCCATCATCAACAGCCCAAACAAGGCCCAATTTGAGGACTACGTTGAGGGTCTGCGCGTCTTTGACAAGGAGGGCAACGGCACAGTGATGGGCGCTGAGCTTCGTATCGTTCTGTCAACACTGGGTGAGTCAGGCCAGGACACCAGTGTGTGTGTGTGTGTGTGTGTGTGTGTGCGTGTGTGTGTGTGTGTGTGTGTGTGAGAGTGTGAGTGTGAGTGTGTGTACATGTTACTAAAACTTGTTGTCTTTTGCCTCCCCCTGCAGGAGAGAAGATGACTGAGACTGAGATTGATTCTCTCATGGCCGGACAGGAGGATGAGAACGGCTGTATCAACTATGAGGGTGAGCCAAAAATGACAACATTATGACTCATCATATATTCTTACATATATATATGAAATGAACAAGTTTAGTTTTGTTTACTAAACGATCATCCCTTTGGCTGTAAAAACACTTTGCCGTGTTTGTATGAAGGGTCCTACAATATTTGAAAAAATGGCCCATGTTATTGACAACATCTCGCTGAGTTGTATTATGGGAAACGTAGGACCCAGCATTATCTTCAATACTAAGGACCAATAGTCATGATATCTTGACTTCTTCTTTCTTCCAATTTGTCTGCTCTTTTAAAGGGTAGGGGTCAATTGAATGAATAAGATGTGAGGTATTTTGTGTAGTTGTGTAGAGGGATTTTTAGTCATTTATCTCAATTGTTTTAAGTAATTTAGAGAAATACATAAAAAAAATTGAACTAACTTTGTTTACTTTGTCTTCCTCTCTCTGTCTCTCTGTGTGTTGCCCTGGTCTTAATCTGCAGCCTTTGTCAAGCACATCATGTCTGTGTAAGGACCCCGTCACTGCAGTGGTGAGCATCGTATATGTGCAGACCCCATGGTGTCGCGACATCCACTCACTGTTTCCTGTACCACCTGAGGAAGCAGGGGGAACAAAGGACTATGAGATGTCATTTCCTGAACCCTTATTTTGTTGTGTTCTACACATTTTTTTGTTTTCCAACTGGTGCTTTTTTTCCCCCTCCTCCTCCTACTGCGAGAAGTCCCATCGTCTCTTTGTTGTTGTTTTTTTAAACATCACTGGTATTCAGAGCGGACCAGTGATGGAGGGGAAGGTAGGATCATGATGACCATCCCTCCCCGGTCATTTCCTGTCTGGCTGGCTCTCTTTCTGACAGCCAAGTGTCTGATTTGGCTCAGGACTGGCCATCAAGATGTATCCACTCCTAAACCAAACCCATCCCTAGGTCTTAACTTATTGTTTCCTCTGCCATTTCACAATAAATTTTGACAAACTCCCATTTTAAGTTTTTCATTCTATTTATTTTATCTAAATCATCTGCATAAATAATTCAGCAAGAAACGTATCAAAGGACAAGTGAATTATTTCAGGGGACATGTATCATGGCTCTGCACAAGCTAAAGCTAACTGTCAATTAGCTTAGCCTACATCATTTTCCCTTTTACACCATAGCCGGGCTAGCTGTTGGCCCTGTCTTCATTTTGTATTTGAGTTTCTGATGACTGGTACTTCCTGGACCGATGTGGTTTCACCCTCCTTATCCAACTTTAGAAAATAAAACAAAGAAAATGTTCCAAAATGTCAATCAATCAATCAATCAATCAATTACTGACTATTGCCTCAATGGTATTCAGAACAGAAGACAGTACTCTAGTGTCACTCTTTGTCCTTTTTATTGTCATTACTTATTGTAACTGTTGTCATATCAACAAGAGAAAAACTGCTTACATCTACTTGACCTTTTAAATACATTTACAGTTGCTGAAGGGTAGAGCAGGAGGCAGGAAGGGGGCACACGGAGATGGGGTATGCAGAAAAACACAGAAGCAAACAATCTCAGGTGAGGGCATTAATTAGGCAGGATATACCACAAATGATGTCTGAAAAAGTAACTAGATCACCCAAACACTTTTTTTTATCCTAAGAGATGAAACAGGATCCGAGTTCCCTCGGCCATTTTTGTTTTTCTTCATGAATGTCTTTATGATGAGTTTTCAAAATATTTTTTTTTTCTCCACTTTCTTCTCCCACACATTGCAACAAAACATCCAGGTACGGAAGCATACGTCATAAAACGGCATTGGATCTGCATCAAACGCGCACACACAAACAGATTTCAGAGTAGTTTTTGTCTTCTGCTAAATCTCAGGTCCCGTGTTGCAGAGTCTTCCTCAGTCCAGACACCAGACAGTCCTGATGAGTGCAACGTCGGCCTGTGTTTTCAGAGGAGTGTCCACCGCACTGTTCATGTGAGCTGAACATCTGTAGCTGTAAAGACAAGATACTTTTTGTTTCCTTATTAGACAGAGGTGTGTGGAATGATCTCTTGGTTTTAACTTTGCGTCTATTTTGAACTACTGACCGGGTACAAGTGTATGATAATCTTCAACAGGACTGAGATACATTCCTTAGCAACACCAATTCAGCTGTCTGACATTGTCACCAAGCATAACACTGTAAACAACTAATAACTACAAAACATGAACTTTTTTTTTTGTATCTTAAACCAATGGTTGAGGAAATAACTTACTAAAATCCTTTCTTAGGTTACAAAATAGCCTCTTTTAAGATTAGAATCAATACATGCTTGTTATAACATTACCTAGGTCTTGCAGTAATGCAATTTTACAAGTTTATTTGATAGCCATATTGTCACTTCCTTTTAAAATGTTTCAGGACATGTAGATGGCAAAGTACTTGTATTTTTTGTACATATTTCTATATATATATATTTCTATATATATTAGTTAAATATATTAAATATTGGGTGATAAGAATGACTTGCAGTAAGGATGCTTGGTTCATTAGGGGGTTTGGCGTCCATGCACTGAGCAGGAACAATACGTGCTGCATGGTGTGCTGGTCGCATTACTCCTTGTTAAAAGTAGAAGAAAAAAAAGGCTGTAGCGTCTTCTAAATACTGATCCAGGACCAGTCAAGCCAATGCCTGATCCCACTTTGTATGTAACAAGTTATCTGGGACCAGTGGTCAGACTGAACTGTTCTATGCAACATAATTCATAAAGAGAGAGGCCAACGGAACAAATCAGTAAAAGCACATATTTGGATTTAAAATAGGAAATGAAGAGGACCAAAGTACAGTAGCTCCTAATTTCAGTCTCTACTAAAAATGATGAAACTTGTAGTGAGAGTGTTTAGAGGCTGTGGTTTAGCTGAGGATGGCCTCAGGGTGGCAGGAGTGGTTCAGGAGAGTTCAAATGGATCAGGGTGAGGAGGTCCACGATGCAGACTAGAATCCAGAGATCCAGTGTTCACAAACCCTGCTTGGCCAGAGCAGCGGAGACATCCTCGGCCAGGGTTGCTAGCTGCAGTGAATCCATCATGTTGAGACTGCCGGAGGATGATAGATGGCTATCTCTGTGGCGCTGGGGCGACATGGAGCCGGACCTACCGGGGGACTGACTATGACGTCGGCACCGTGGTCCACTCGTGCCTTGGCGTGGTCACGAAACAACAACCTGTGGCTCTCGATCTGCAGAGGAAGGTGGTGTGGAGTGAGATGTAGATGGGGAAGTATTATTACATTATTTACTTATAATATTGCCTTTTACTTCATATATCTCCAAGTGTTCAAATATTTGTATATTTGTGAGTCAGTTTGACAAAAACTGCAAATAGAACATCAGTGAATGTTACAACTTTGTTTTCTAGATGTTCCCCAAACGCTGCTGCTGAGTCCTCTAACTGAGTGTCGGAGTCTTACTGAATACTTGATAAGCAGAATGTACAGAAAGGTGTTTGAATAAACATGTACATTCATTATTGATAGAAGCGTATACTATACCTTTACTGCTACCCTCACAGGCAGATACAGGAATACAAGTTTTTGGAAGATTGGCCTGTTGGAAACTCTACATTTGCACGTATTTGTATTAAAATATTTACATGTTGGACATTTTAAAGTTCTACAAAACAATGTTTTCATGTCTCTTGTCACCCTTTTGATTGGTTCTTTGATTATTGTAGTTCTTTTGTTTCTGTTATACTGGTTGGTAAATGGATCCCAATCTCAACAATGCGACCTGATTAAAAAAAGAATAAATAAAGACAATATCACCAAAAAAGGAATAAACACTAATAATACAATTTAAAGTACCTCTTATTTTTTAATACTTATTTAACCCCACAGTATGTCAGACTATGTGCGTATGCATCTTTTTGGATAACAGTAATGCCTATAGTCACAATGATTAATAAATCTACAATCTCTCTATTTTACAGGTAAATATCAGGTGATTGAAATGTCTATCTCTAAATACTTAATAGAAAATGATGTAAAGAGTTAAGAATGTTTCCTACAAGGTTTAAATCTAAAGTGACCAAAAAGACAATCTCTCAAAAACTTGTTTTCCTTTTAATCAGAATGGAGCACGGAGCTGACACTCACCATGACACGGCCTCCAGCAGGCATGTGATGAGCATTATCCAGGGAACCCACCTTGGCTTGGGCTTTGTCTTTAAAGTCCAGCTTCACACTCTCGATACGAACGTTACCGCCCCCTGAGGAGAGGAAATAGGAAGCGGAGCAATCAAATTGAGATGTGGTATTTAGTCTCCTGGTCACATAGTTTTGGCTCTGTTGGAACAGATTGAACATGGAGGTTGAATGTGTAATGCTGTGCGGAAAAAGCATGTATGTCCATGGGAAATTATGGAATAAATGATGTGAAATAAAATAACACAGTCAGAAAGGGGAAGAGATGGAGCTGCTGGGCCGATAACAGTCACCACAACTCCACCTAGAGGGGAGGGGAGGTACTGCTAAAGATTGAATGAAGACAGCAAAGACTCTGAGAGACCGCCATACGTTTGTCTAAAAAACTATTATTCAACTAAGTTCATGAATAATAAAAAGCGATATGTAAACCAGTGACCCCAGGTTGTTATCAAATCATGCAGATACAGTTTCATTTAAAATGATATTTGACATATCTGCCACTGAGGGTAACCATCACTTATGTTCAACATAATGGAGGTGAATAGAATTCTTCTTACTACTATATGTCGTTTGTTGACTCACTCTGCTGAAATCCTGAGCAAACATGATCCTTCTTATTTGGGATCAGTGTAAGAGTACAACACTATTTTTATTTGAAAGTACAAAACTCATTTATATCACCTCTGATCATCTTTATGAAAGGTGTGTTGAATTCCTAATTGTGTTTTTTACTCAATGGCTATGAAAGATACATCAGTAATAAAATCAATACTCGTGATTTGCAGTTCTTCTTTCATGATCAACAATTTTACATTTTAGATAAAAATCAGATGTATAAACCCATTCATGTCTGATGCAGTCTATTTAATCCTCAAGTTATCAACAACCAGTTTCACACACTCAGAGTAGAATCATACAAAACACACAAAGGCTGCCAGCATCCACAACACCTCCCACATTCAGCTGCCTTTGGACAGATTACATCAGGTTGTCAATCAAAATGTAGTTTACTGTTTGCTCCCATAGATTAGTACTGCACCTCATTTAACTAAGTGTCATTCAAGCAGTTATATGAATTGTATACTAGCACTACTAGCATATTTGTAATTCAAATGGGATTGAATGGTACTTTATAGCCAATTTGCAAACAGCGACAGTGGATTAGATGTTATGCACTCTGTGTCTTGCAAACTGTATAAAGGTAAAGAAGACTTAGAAACCATTAGCATTTGAAACTTCTTGGTTCAATTTACACCTAGTATGACAACGTGATCTGTGTGTTAAAACGGGCATTCCAGTTAGCCAATTTGGATTTCTTTTAAATTGACTTTCAAGCTACTTCTTATTTGTTTTTCTTGCAGGAAGAGCCAGAGTGAAATAATGTTTCAGTTTGCTGAACTGATTTCTGTTATGACAAGTTGGAAAGCTACACCTAGCAGCATTTACACCTAGCTGATAAACCTGCAAAGTGATGCCTGTGCTTCTTTTTTTTGACCTTGTGATAAAAATGGCACTGAGGAGGAATGGTGGGGCAAATTTGTGGGTAGTAACAAAAGAGTAACAGGAGGGAGACAATGGAAATGTTTAACATCCAAGCAAACAGGTCAGAACAGGGCTTTGTGAGTGTGCATGTCTGAGTGTGTGTGTGTGTATGAAGTGCATGCTGTTTTGGGTATACAACATAAAGAGATGTAATGACATTGGAACATCATTATGGCACTGTTGCAGAGTTGGAATGTGTAAAGGACTATTAGACTCAAGGTTAGAGACCATCTGGTCACCAATGCGTTTCTCTAACTCTCGTACAGCACTACCATCCCTACTGCTATCCCTTAAACTGTTACCTGGCCGATGATTGATGTTGTCCAGAGAGCCACACTTGGAGGTCACATGGCTCAAGTCAATCTTCTTGTTCTGAATCTGCACCTGGAAGAGGCAAAGTCAGATCATTTTAAGGTCAGAGCTCACAGTTCAAATGTAGGTCCCTTCTAGCAAGCTCGGAGGATGCACACATGAAAGATTCAACTAGGGTACACTGAAGCTAATGTTCTAAAAAACTGATTTTGCATGAATTTAAAATAAAAGGCTGTCATTTTCCACATTCAAAAACAACCTTATCGTATTGCATGTAATTATTAAAAAATACCAGGGAATAAGTACAACAGCAGAACACAGGGACTGTCAGATTACAGTCCTTCAGTTATAATGTGCAGAGAACTGCTGCAATCTGTTCTAGAAATGAATACAAGATTGTGCTGTAACTTGTTCCTATTGTAAAAAAATGCATGGCACATTCAGACACTCGGCCAAATATACACCATATAAATAGTATTCATTGAATGACAGTAAAATAGTAATGTGAATATAAAGTTGCCACAGGCGAAGAAGAGATACAGATTGTTTCAGTTATGTGACCAACCCTGGGAATGTAAAGAGAAAACCAGTGAGTGATGTTAAAGGAGTGACCAGATGAGACAACAGAGTGGAGATATAAGTTTAACAACCAGCACAATGATCGAAAAAAGATACACCATGTGCTTATATAAAACACTACAACACACCTTTGGGCCAATTCATCGATTTAGATGCTTGTCATTTGTAGGAATATAATGGTGGTCATATACAGTATGTCTGCTTTCCTACACAGCCTGAGGGTGGCGGGGGAGGGGGCTGTAGGTTATGGTTGTGAGCCACATTACAACCACAACACCATGAGCACAACATATCTTAGCCCGTTCATCTACCAGGAATCCCTAGCCATGCATGACACTAGCAGGGATGTGCAGCATGAGTTTAAGGACAGGCAGTGGTTTGTGTCTGTGGCTGCAGACTGACTTGTCTTTCAGGCCGTCATATATTTAACTCTTTCTCTAATATCTTGATGATGTTTTTGACTGTATTTTGCATATTTAGAATTACTTTACGTAATTAAGTACGGGTCGAAAGAAATAACAACAAATACAGTCCTACATAAAACATTACAATTTGCCTTTCTGCACACTGCACTTAGACTTCTGCACTCTGTCAGTTTTAATAAAATGTTACTTTAATGAAGCAACAATTGTAGGTAGAAGCTAAATTCTGAATAATTCAGAACAGAAGTTGGGAAGTATTAGAAAGTTGCTAAACTAGACTTAAAACATTTCAATAAGCGAATAAAAAAAGTATCTAAACTTTATTTTTTATTCGTATTCTTTTAGTTAATTGACTATATTAAGAAAAACACACACACACACACACACACACACACTCTCCCTGGTCTCCTACCCTATCCACTGACCTATCAGATAAAGGCATAAAAAGCCCCAAATTATTTCTTAAAATATATATATATATATATATATATATATATATATATATAAACTGCCTTTACCAGTCACTTTCCAACTCATTTGTGGCTCCTATGGTTGGGGGAGGATTCGGCCCTAGCTGACCCCCCACCACTCCAAGAGAGACTATTTCTGTGCAGAATGGAAATTTGCTTGTAAAACAGTCAGCATAAACCTTACAGGTAACACACTCCAATATTCCTGAATGCTTTCCATGTCAGAGGAGTAGACATGAAACATTTTGTCATAATAACTTCTGAGCAGACACAAACCCTTATATGAGAATGTCTATGACAGCAGTGGAGGCGAGTGACAAAAGCACGGTGGAAGGTGAAAATAAAAAACTAAACACACATTACTCCACAACAAAAAAAGCACTCACATAAACACAGAGACAATGGAATTGCAGTACAAGACTCACGTTTCCACCTCCTGCCGCGTAGCCCCGCCTGTCCAACGACCCACACCTAGACTGAACATGGCTATAGTCCAGCCTAACACTGGGGATGAGAACCTGCAGGGGTGGAGGTCAGGAGTGAGGTGGGAGAATGCTTGGGCTTCCTGTCAAGGTAGTTCATAATTAAACTGCTATTTTGCTAATGTGAGCTGTGGATGTGTTGCACTGTAAGTCGAAACTACACGAACAAGAGAAAATCTCAAGCAAGTCACCAATTAGACAGCACACGATAGAAACAAGGCCGTACATACAGACCCCACAACTACGAGAGAAACTCTATAAGTAGCAGGGATGAAGACAGAATCTGCTTCAAGGGGACTACAAACAATGATGGATACTGAATACTGTACATGACTTGGACATGTTTGAAAGAAATATCATAGATCGTTTTCAACCATCATTTTTTGACAGAAAACTTTTTTTAATAACTTTTACATTCCATTTTATTAGGCATATCCTGTTTATGATCATCACTTTTTATTGTCCAGGAGAAAACGTTTCTGATGTCATCTTTGCTACTTGCAGCTTGTTTCTGTATTTGGTTTTGTTTTCAGTATTTTGCTCACATTTTCTCAATGCTTTACACAAGCAAGTGTACAAGTAAGTGAAGATGTATTAATTGCTTGTGTTTTGTCAATCTAAATATGTTCTCTTAGGTTGCAGCGCCTCGAGGTCTGAAGATCCCCCAATAATAGATCTTGTATCTTCCCAAATAATATTTTCTCCTTGGCAGCTAAGTTGTTTTTTTTTTGCTGTAATGTGGGCAGTAATATGTGACCAAGTGGTTCCCCTTTGCTCGAGACAAAATTAATTAAATGGATACGATGACTCGATACTAACAGAGGAAACACATTAATCTCAGTACTTCTCACTTCATGAGCTTCAATCTTTGAGTCAGCCTGCCTAATGTACCCAAACCTGCCCTAGGGCTCTGCTCTGTCTTCTCCAGAGGATCCTAGGCCTTCTTTTTAAAATATTTGATTCTCTGAAACAAACCGAATTATTCTTTCTTTTGAATAAAAAACAAACTATTAGTGTGTTTTTCAGCTAAAGGATAAATTGTTTAGGTGCAGAGTATCACCAAGTTTTGAGAAATCACTGTGCTTCATTTGTTTTTACGTCAGGATGGAACGTGAACCCTTCAGGAAATCTCTGCATCACTCTGTCTCACAAGTAAGAGGCCCCCTACTCAACAACAGTAGCCTTCGTTTTTTTCTCCTTCTGCATTCAGACTCAGAAGTGAAAATAAAAGCAGTGAACACTAGAGGCCGTTAGTTTAGATTGCAAGGATGATAAAATATGAGTATACTGCAATGGTTAATGGCTCGCTCTAGCTGCAAGGAGAGAAAGCAGCAGTGAGATGCAGACGGAGCAGAAATACTACAGTACATAGCATAAATAATAATAAATGCATTTTGCACCCAGAAACACAGTCAAAGCAATGGGAACTACACGGGGTAAAGAAGACATACCACATACATACATATTCAATGTATTTAAAAGAGAAAGGACAAACAAGTTGTTGTTGTATTATCTGTTCCTATAAGAATTACATACATAGATCCCCTCTTTTATTTGAAATACATAGAATACATGCTCATAGAGGTGAACTGTGAACACAATTACAGCGAGAAAGTTCACACATAAGACACACTTGTGACTTATCCCTTGCTGGATGGGTCAGAAAAGACAAATACTAGACAAAGGGGAAATCAAAGCAAATGTATTTGCCCGTACGTTTAATCCTCAATTTGTGCCACATTCAGGATCCAATATTTGAATGCTCATCCCCTCTGGGAGTTTATCCAAGACTCCAACTACAAAGAGTTGGACTTTAAATGTGGAACCTTTTTCCAGGTGGACATAACTCTTCCACTCACAGCAGGTTTCAAGCCCGATGTTTGGGTATTCAGCCCAAACAGGCGGTGGAGCAGAGAGCGCAGGGGGAAAACAGTCATTCAGTAGTTTGTTGACTTACACAGCACACCTGTGATGAACCTTTGCCCTGCAGCCAGCACTCAGAGCCACATGGGAGACAGGAGCTCCTCTTTTCAATAGGGTCATCTTTAATGATCCAGCATGGCTTGGTTTAAACACCCATGCTTGTTATCAACTCTTTCATAGAAATACATTATTCAATTTAGACGTCATCCCCCAAGTCTCTGCAGGTCACCTAGAATTTATAGTGTGGTACCATCTATATTTACACACTAATCTTAAGGTTCTGTTTGAATCCTAAAAGCCTAGCCAGGGATAGAGGTTGCAAATTAGCCATGGCTAGAAACCTGTATGCATGGCATCTACTTTGTTTTTACAAAAGAAGCAATGTTCATTCCATGTGTCTCTGTTAAATAAACAAATTAATAAAAATCTTGGATTAATCATTTGTTACTGTAATAAGTTTGTACACTGAGGATACATAATGCCCCATAATGAGCGTGCTCAAATGGTGGAGGCCAGTCTTATTCAGCATAATAAAACTCAATTCAATAATAGACCATATTCATTAGCTTCTGATTTGGCAAACCTCAATTTAAATTATTCTACTTCAATTTCTTAAAGGCTTTATATGTGATTTTTTGATCCAGCAGATGTCGCCCTTGAGCACCAGCATGAAACCAAAACAACTTGCGCTGCATTGTTGTGTTAGCATGCTAATGCTAGCGATCTTTATTATGCTCGTATCTTCACACTGCATGTAAATTTACCTGAAATGAGCGTGATGTAGAAACACAGTTAAGCAGTGAGTACAGTATGTTATTCTTCTTTTCTCTAGTCCCTCATTAAACAACTTTTATACATGAGGGGAGGAGTCAGCCGGCCGTCCCGGCGATGTAAACAAACTGAAGATAGGACTCGGAAAACTCAGAAAACATCACAGACAGTGGGACTCGGGTGTTACACCCATTGTAGACAGTCATGACTCACAGAGTTATTTTCAGAGGATATACTTGATTTATATTATATAAGTGTGAAAAATTGCATATAAAGCCTTTAAGCCTAATGGGGAAAGAAATCTCCCAGTGAGTTGCTCAAGGATATTTTAACTGGACAGACATTTGCCAGCATATGGCTTTGGTGATTTTGCTCTCTCTAACCATGAGACTACCTTGGTTAGTACAAGATAGCTGGGTTATTTTTAGTTTAAGGTCACTGCTCTCACAGGAAGAAGGCGGCTAAAACGAGAAGCTGTCAGACCAGTTGCTGAGTATTAATTGAGCGCTCATGTGCATGTGGGTAAATACTGTATCAGGCTTAGGAGAAAGAAATACAACGCTTTGCAAGCAACCTTTTGTTTGGAGTTTGAAAGCGAGAACTGATACCATCCCAGCCGGATAGGTAAGAGTCACACTGCAGAGGAAAAAAATCATGGAAACATACTAATGAACTATCAAGAGCAGCACAGCACAAAAACAAAAACAAACCAAGGGGAACAAACTACATGTGGATGGTCTTTACCCTTCTCCTCTAAAGGATATAGAGGGAGGGCAGAAAAATGGGTACATACATTTTCTCCACGGGGTCTATGCTTCAGATTATCCTGGGAGCTGCATTTTGAAAGAACGTGACTGAAGTCCAGCTTCTTGTTTAAAATATGAATCTATGGAGAAATACAAACATATTATGGGCCTCTAGTACCATAAATGTCATCTTATACTTTAAAGTTAAAATGAATGATCACTTGATCATTGTAAGAAGCTATTCTCAGGTAAGTGATTACATTTCTATTTAAGATAAACATTCAGTTTAAAAAGACAGAATGGTAAATTGACACACGTTAACACACTTTACTAAAGCATCAGCTTTATCATACGCCTGTTGGTTTCTTGTCTCACACTCAAATTGTATTCTGATGAGCTTTTATCTGTTTAAATGGAAATATGTGTAAGCACATACAAAACAGGTTCAGTTAAATCTAGAACAGAACCTCTGACTTAATGTTTCAAACAAATGACTCCTTTCTACAATCGCTGGTCAACAGCTGTTCCTGCGGCTCTGTGCGTTGTGCTTTATTCAATAGTCAAAATTAAAATCTCGATAAGTCATATTGAGAAAATGTAACAGACTTTTAAATTGGTAGTTGAATGATTTCATCCACAACTTTTTATTCGACTTGTACCTACTCATTTAAATGCACATTTAATCAGTCCAGAACAGTCTCAATATTTAACTAATTCAGGATGGTTAAACACTGTGAAGGTCTTCCATGATCTCACTGGCATACTTTTATCTAGGCTCTATGAGACACCGGGTGCCAACATTTAAGAGTGCTGAGGAGTACCAGCATGTCCTTGGTCCAGGTCACACTGTGTGCCGCTGAAAGACACAGAGTAACCGAGATGAGCCGCAGCACTGACTTCCAGATCCAAGAGACCCTGTGTTTGGCCTCTGATGGCATATTTTGGTCCTTGTGCTTCTATGAGGACAATCATCGGACAGGTTAGAGGCTGGGCAGAGGCTTGCTAGAGGCTGGGAGGAGGGCTTACTGCAGCTGCATGGAAATAGGAACTACATGGACCATGGAGCAGCTAGACACTACTAAAGGTCAGGAGCAGATTATTTTGTGGGAAACTTGTGAAAACTGTTACTAGTCCACTGATTCTACCATCCCTAAGCTAAGTTAGAAACTTATCAAAGGCAACCATATTACTGAAAACTGATGGGAAGTGAGCTTATAATGTGCTGCATTTCTTGGTTCTGACCTGTTGGAAATAAAAAGTGCGAAGAACCATATTTCATGCTCCATATTTTCAAACTGTGTGGGCATTAACTTGAAAAATGGCATTTCACTAACCTACTTTATTCTTAATCACATTTGAGCCCTTAATAAGTGTATACTGTGGTTTAACGAAGGAATTAAAATAAAATAAAAATCAGTTTATATACAAAAACTATATGAAAATTCCACAGTAGTTGTATGGTACTTGTAGTAAATAATTATGCCCATTCTTTCTTCTTTTGCTCAGCCAGTGAGACACACATAGTGGCTTTAAGGTGTTCTGTGTTTATCTGAACAGTTCTTTCTGAATCTCATGAACACATCACTGTGGAATGCCTTTAAAGCACTTGAATCATCTAATCAAAAGTAGATCAAGCCATCGCCTTAAGAAGCAGACTCAATGTTTTACTTTCTGTCCGGCAGCTTGTTTCCAAATAGCACAAGGACAATCACTCTGCCCAGACATTGACCCCTGTGTTTATACAAGAGCTGCCATCATTCATTTGGCTCTGATAGCAGACACCTACTGCCACCCGGGGGGGGGGGGGAACAGTCCAACAACCACACACGTCCTGTGTTTGGCTGAGGGTAAAGTCACCAGGATTTGTAGACAACACTAAACAAAATGTGAAGTTAGAATTTTACAATTGTATAACCCTGATCTGTTAAATTCTTGAAATGCAGCAGGAATATCAAACACTGAATCACTGTACCTTCATCTTTCAATTTGATGTAGAAAACTAAAGCTCTAAAGCAAATAACAAGTGTGTAAAAATAAACAAATTCTAACTAAACAGAAAGAAAACAATCTAATTCAAAGTAATGAATTGATTAAAAATGGCAGTGTGTATACACTCTGTTAAATCCATCTGTAACACACTGTTTCACAAATGTGAAAAAAAAAAAAAAAGACAGATTCACCTACCACAAACAAACAACTCAATTGTCCCCAAGGCTAAAAGGTTGGCCATCATTTATCACAGCCACAAGATTAGAGCATCAATTCCTTCCAATGTGGCACTAGCAATGAACTTGTTCTGCCAAAGCAACCTCTCCCACATGCAGGGATTTAAAGTTTTATAAATACATTTAAAAGTTAAATAAACTCAAATTTGGAAACTCATGAGAAATTAAAAAGTTCAAAGGTCATCTAAGAAGAGCCAGTCTTATCTTTTACCCTGCAGAAACCTCCACTCTGAGATGGATTTAAAGTAAGGCTCAGCAGTTTTGTCTTTGATACAGCGTCTCAACTGAGCCTGCATGTGTGGACACAGCAACACAACTGCAAACATGCTCACTAAATCCACTCGGACAGGTTCTGCTGCAGATGACGAGCAGGCGTTTGGAGCATGATCCCTGTTCTCCCTGTTCTTTGGCTGGATGCACAAAGCAGCACAGGCGAGTCATGAAGATGGCAGCCAAGTATTGGACTAATCAGGTCATCAGTGCAGGCTTGTAAAAGCTGATGGCTTCAGACACACTGCCAAGCTGACGTTGTGTTTCGGACTCATGCTGAAATATAATATCTGTCAAATTGGCGAGTTTGTAGTCCCAAACTCCCTGCTTATTCAGATTCTATGCAGCTTCAAAAACACAATTTCTTAATACAGATTACAAGTGCTGTCTTCAGGACATGTTCAGGAGTGAACATTTAAGGGGTAAGTCCTGCTCACAGTTAAGACAAACTTATTGAAATGTCCGAGTCAGGTCATGTCAGGTCACAGGTTTCTATTTCTTGAAATTTGAGACTTCACAATTTTAAAGTTTAGGGTGGAGAGACAAAATCACAACACATTTGACATCATGAAGGCCAATTTCATCTTCATCAGAAATACTGATGTATTTACAGTAACATGGTCAGTGAGCTTAGGCCCATTGCTATATTTGCTTGTTTAATATCTCAATGATGTAAAAGCTGCTTATTGTCCCTGCTTGTACACAGGGACACCCCAGTGAGTCCTCTTTCCTGCCATTTGACAAATCTAAATTGGATATTTTCTCACCTTCGAGTTTGGCTTTGGTTCACAAATTCTTCTTCTACACTCTTGACACTCTTCGCTCACACCTCAGCTCTCTGCCTAAGAATGGGATCTCTGTCTGTCAGTCTGTGCTTCACATATCTGAAGAATCATTCAACCAATCGACAACACCTTCCTGAGAACCCTGAGTGCAACATGCATGAAGGAAAGAAATACGCCAATTCGCCAAACCCTAACAGGGATGCACTTGGCAACGCTGAGAGCATCAATACACAAAGTCTAGAAATCCGACATTTTTAGAATTCTATCATCATTAACAGGAACATGCCTTTCCTATGACTTTCTATTATTTAAAATAAGTAATCAAAAATGTAGGTCCCAAGAGAACTAATATAAGTTACCCAGGAAATGTATGTCTTATTTTATTTCTGTTTCCTCCTCGTTTCAAACGTCTTCAGTTTTAATCAATTCTCATTTCTGTAAACGGTGAATGGACTTGAGCTTGTTAAGCGCTTTTCTAGTCTTCTGATTACTCAAAATGCTTTTACACCTACTCATTTAAACCACATTCACACACTGATGGCAGAGGTTGCTTATAGTGTGGTCATCAGTATTAACTAATTCCATTCATACACATTCACTTGCCGCCAACAAAGCAGCAGGAGCAACTTGGAGTTAAGTGTCTTGCCCAAGGACACATTGACATGTAACTGCAGGAGCTGGGGATCGAACCCCAGACCTTCCAGTTGAGAGACTCTTCCACTGAGCCACAGATGCTCAACTATATATTAACTCTTAATGTACATAGTTGTAACCTTTATATTTTTATCTCTCTTAATTTTTGATTTTACACTTGCAGCAGTACAGCAAAAGGACTTACAGTGGAAAAGGATAGCTAAGGGACTAAAAAAAAGACAACTAATAAGGCAGGGTAGGATAGAGCATTAGAGCATGGGAAATAGACATACTATATCAAGGCAGACAAAAAAGCCAGTAGATGTTAATCATCATTACAGCATTGTTAATTCCAGGAAATTCACTTCTAAGCTCATTGTTATTGATGATATTTTTGTGCAGATATCAACATTTATATTGAACATAGATGAGAATGATATAGTTTCTATTTTGTTGTATGATGCTTGTCTGGAAATAATTAAATTTCCTGCTAAAGATGACAAACTCTGCTTTAAGAAGTAAAAAATATAGATTTATAGATGACAATAAGTAAGTTTAGGTATGAAGACAAAACTACAGAAAGGAAAGTATTTACAGTACAGAGAAGATTGTGAGGGAAGTGAGCATCACCTGTCCTCCTTTAGGCTGGTACTTGATATTCTCTGTGGAGCCGATCTTTGACTTGATGTTCTTAAAGTCAGGCAGCGGCTGGTTGATAATTCGAAGCTGCTTGGGCGTTGTTGCAGGCGACTTGGGTGGCGTGCGGACCACGGCCACCTTTCTCTCTTGGGACATCAAGCTGAGGGAGCGAGGGGTTCCAGGAGTCCTTGAGGATGATGAGTAGCTGGGAGGGGTTCCCGGGGTGATGGCTGCCGAGCCAGGGGTGCGGGGGGTGGAGTGGCCACTGCGAGCGGAACGGGATCGCACTGATTCTGTAAATGTTGGAGAGGTAAGAAGGTGATGGTTGCAGCTAAAGTTGAAGATAAACAGAATCATTAGGTCCTATTATTTGAAAAAAATAAAAAAAATACTATCCATGACAAATGTGAAGCCCTGCAAACATATCAGATTTATTAACAGGAAATTGGGATGTAAAGCTTTTATTTTCATTAATTTGAACCATTGATAACATCAACCATTATATGTTTGATTCTTTATAGGTATAATGAGTATATATATTCTAATAAAGTGACTGTGCCTTAAATCATTTGAGAACACTGAAGAATCTTCTCTACCTGTCATACTAGCGGCTCGTCCTGTCCTGTGCTCTGCCCTCATCTCTGCACGAAACGCTGCAGGAGACATGGGGGAAAATGTTTGAAAAACATAAAAAACCACATTAGACATTTCAGCTACATTGGTATCAAATATCAAAACTAACAAAAGAACAATTATGTTCTACATTTCATACATATCCACATATTATACATATGAAGAATCAGGAACTACAGTATCTTATTGTGAGTAAAAGATGTAATACTCATATTTACAGTTTAGATTTGAACACTTTCTTTTTCCCTTTAAATGCTTCTTAAAAACAGACGTGTATAGGTATGTGTATGTATGTGTGCCTGTATATTAACTTGTGTGCTAAGTTGTTTTAAGTAGACCTTGAGTCTGTAATAAAGTTTGAATTGAATTAAAAAGTTCCATCACTTGACATACAACATAGAAGAATGAAGACAGATAACATGAACGTATTAATTATAGTTATACAAACTAGTTGATCAGATAATAGGAACTTGGGTAGGACTGGAGTTGGCCTTAGTTAATTTCAAGACATCATTTATCATAATAGGTACAATGGTTGAATCAACTTGTTCTGGAGTCTTCTGGAGGCTGATGGAGCCGGACGCTGGTTTTATAAGATCCTCTGTAATGAATGTTTAAATAACGCCTTATTAAGCTTCAGCCTACATGTTGGTCTTCGAGGTGCTGTTGAACCAGAACTTGTGATGGAGGTTGAACTCTCCTCATGTTCATGGTAACCACGACGACTCAGAATGGAAGCATGCCGCGTTAGAGAAGATCTCTTGTCAGGGCTCCATGATCCACCGTCCTGTCGGAAAAGACAAAAGAAAAACCAGAGGTACATCCTTAGACCAGTGAGGCTCTGTTTAATTTCAATTATAATTTCCTCCACATGGTTGTATGCCTCTGCCAATCAGTAAAGTAGCAGTGAACCTCATCATATGTTTTACCAACGACTGACACTGTTTGCATGTGATTGTCATTAGACACTTCTTCTAGGAGCAAGACAAACACAACAGACATTACGACCCAGCAACTTTAATCTCCATTTGGCTGCAGATTTTCCCTTCAGGACTGTTTCTTTTCTTCCACTTGTAGTAAGAATAGTATCATCTACAAATATCTCAATGAGCTTTGGCTGAATGCAAGAAAACTGTCTGTGTAGAGCAAAAAGGAGAAACACAAGGAAAAGGAGGTCTTAACTGAAAGTCCTATAACTATATCACTGGCTTCACCAAACCATTTGCTACACCTGGAGGCTCCGAAAAGCTGGCCTTCACTACCAGAAGCTCGGTCATGACCAGACAACAGCCAATTTGATGCACAGTTGCGTTCCTTAATAACAAAGACCATTTTTGCTGAATTTGAAGACACTTCCTCATGTGATCCAGAGATATCACGTTCCATGGAATGGTTAGTTTAAGGACATTTTGATGTTTTAGTAAAGTTGACATTTGGAGTAAAAAATAATGTTTAAGTTAGTCAGAAATCAAATTACAAGAATAAGATCCATGAACTGATACAAAAATCACATTTAATTAAAGTTAAAACATGTCATTTAAGGTGTGTAATATTCAAATCAAGTTATTCTGGATTTTTCCCCCCCAGAGCTCCTGCAGTGAAAGTGCTATTCTACCATTCACTTACCTCGGCTATGAATCTCTGTAATATGGGGGAGCGTAAAGAATCTGCTGTCGTGGTTCGAGGTCTATCTAACGGGAAAGCCAGTTTGAAAATGGAGGTTGGGATCTTCGTGATTGGCAAACAATTGGAATGGCACTGAGATGGTAAAACGATGAGTCCCCATTGATGGAAAGCATGGCATCACAGTAAAAGGACACAGGATGACAAAAGTCTAGTGTAAATGACAGTGTGTTTCAACATACATTTTCAGAGCACAATGTGGACAAGATGAATGCTTTTTGGGGATGGGAAATGCTTAGCTTTACATCTAGCTTTTTAGCATTTATGTCAAAACAGCCTTTCATGAAAAGTCATGAAAAACATCTCAGTAACAAATTCAAAAATATAAAATCAAGATGCAAATCAAATATGTGCACACAAAACTGTTTGCAATGATCATGTAGGGTTTCATGTCACACTGCATGCTTAAGTGTCAGATGCATTTAAAGACTGAAAATAAAATGTGAAAACCAAAAATGAAATACAGTGTGGACTCAAAGTAATAAAACAAGCTTACATTATTCTGTAATGTATTCTGTATTGGCATGACATTTAAGAAATGTAGAAACTGTGTTATTTTAGACACAATCATTGTGATTACCATGGCAGAGGTGTAAAATGGAGTCACGACCACAGTCGCTGGAGAAATGTCACCAGGTGATGCAACACCCACTCAGAAGAAAAAAAATCTCTAAATGGATCTTTCTTGTCTACTTGTGCTAAAATCCATTAAGCAAGGCAACAATAACAAGCATTTTTCAGAGGCCAAAGCAACCAGTATCTACATTTTATTCTTAAATACAAAGGACGTGAGAGTGATGGTATTATGAAAACAGAAAGCACTGTTCTCTGCAGTGATTAGGGCTTATAAAGACAGAGGGTAGACTGTGCTTGCTTTAAACAGCATTCAATGTGTTTATCTAGATGGATAATAAAGTTTCTTTGGAACTCACTGAAGTAAATAAGTAAAAGCTTCTTATTAAGTCTTTATGTACTGCTTAATTATGTGGGTCTTATTGTTATAAGTGTCAGCACTTAAGATGTGCGAGGCATCTTGTGCACTGTTTAGGAATCAGGAGGTTCATATTTGCCTCTCAGTTCCAAGACTCTAAATAATGAAAGACACCAAAGAAATGAGTGACAGCCGATCTGATGTAGGATACTTCAGTTTTTCAGTGACAATGCAATCAGTCTCTCACACTAAAGATAGAAATCTCCTGAAAAGCAATTCGTCCTCCTGATTGATGTTCCTTACTTGGAGTTTTAGGGTGGTTGCCAGTTAAGCTTTAATGTCGTATTTCAGTGGGAGATTGTTTGTGTTGGAGGTCATGCCACTGTCATGCAGGCAACTATACTCACCGATGCTCTTTCGCGAGACTGCCTGGCAACACTAAGGGGCTGGCGACTGTCTGGTAGCACCTCTGAAAGAAAGACAGAACTTCAGTTTTAGAAAATAGTAGACAGAGACAGAGACATATTTAACCTTCATACACTGAACGGGAGCAAGGGAGAGCTATTCAATGACCTACCTACAGAAATGCCATAAAAGCACTCTGTACTCCCAAACCTAGCGTGATGACAAATGAACAAATCAAGTGTTCTGTATAGAGCAGGTTACTGCCCCTTGAGAGCTCTGCTCTGTAAGGATTTGGCAAAATATCACACAGAATGGGGGATTTTGTATTATGTAAGTCAACCCTGGAAATAATCTAATTGGGGCAATGCCGCATCGTACAGAGCTTTCATCATCAGTGACACAGAATTCAGGCCGTCAGGGGAAAATGGAGTGCAAACTGCCTCTGGGACAGAGCAGCATTACAGACTGTTTATAGTATCAGGTCCTGAGAACAAAACCCTGGATTACTAGTTGCCTGGCTACCTAAGGGTGGAAAAAGCTTAGATGGATAATGTTATTCATAAATTAGCCAGAGAAGGGAGAAAAGTTTTAAGTTTTTCACACCAGTTAACTGATGACTAAATAACCATAAATAATACAAATACATGAATCAATTCTCAAATATCGTTATATCACTGGAAAAATAAACAGAGAACCAATAACATTGAGTTTTCTTGAAATGGTAACAGCAAGGACAAATGCATTTAAAAAGTAACTTAACAACAGCAGAAAAACTTTTTTGCTGACCAAGCTGTAGTGACAAACATTTTCTACTTAGAAAGTGTTCAATGAATTCTGCAATCAAATTAGCTCTAAACCAAAATTCATGTTTTCAGCTTGGTGCTAAGTTAGTCTTAAAACAAAGAGAATGTGCAGAAAATAAAACATAAATAAAGCAGAATGAATGAATAAATTGTTGGAAGACAATTTTTATTGTGATAAAATACAATCAGACAGACACATATGACCAAAGTAAACTACTGGAACCAATAAAAAAAAGGACGTCAAAACCAAATTGAAGTTTACAGATGAGGTAAGACAGGTGGAAATTGTCCTTCTGAGGTCTTTCCTGTAGAAAGCACCACTTGTGGCAAAATGTCACCTGTGGTTCTCCGTCTAGGGCAGGAGTGGTGCTGGGTGGGTCGGGTATGGCGGACGGATGGTTTCATCGCACTCCTCTTGGATGGGGATTGAGTCTGAGTCTCTATTTTCTTGGTAAGCTCAGTCTTCTTTATCACAGCTACATTATTGGAGAAATCAGGGTTAATGTCAAAAGCAGATACACAAGAATAACAATGATAAATGATGGACAGTGATGAAATTCTGCAGGATACAAATTCCCCTCAATCTCCTTTGTAGCTGTTGCATTTGTAGAATACTAAAAAGACATTTATTAACGACAGTTGTGTCAATCAAAACATAAAAAGTTTCTGTGTTTTCAGTGAATATTCAACGGCAAAGAGCAACGCTAAGGTATATTATGTTGTAAAGCACATTTTTAAATGTCTTCACTCAATATGAAGCACTACAGACTACAGATTGCAAGACCTATAACATGATGATAAACTTTAACTGAGTGACTCAATAATCCACCTCGTCTTAAAAAAACAAAGTGAAAAAAAAAAGAGAATAAGGACAACCTTTTTTCTTCCTGACTTCCTCTCTTGGGATGTAGACAGGTTCTTTACGAACAGGTTTGCGTTCTGGTGTGGAGATTCTGCCTTTTGGCCGCCCTCCCTTGGCCCTTTGTTTGACTGTCTTTTCCATTTTTTCTGTCTTCTTCTGGTGGCTCTGCTTGCCCTGGACCACAGCCGGCTTTTTGACTGGGCTGGACATCTGGGGCAATGGCTCAATATGCTCCGTTGCCATGCTCCTGTCATCATCTGCAGTGTTGTTAGAGAGTACATAAAAAAATATGGAACATTGTCATTATATACAGTATATATTTTTTCAAGCAGAACAGGGATAAAATAAAAAAGGAACCATCTAAAGTGACCCACCATCACCAAGAGTTCTCACCTTGTGTGTCAACCCAGGAGCTGTCCAAGATGGAGTCGTCCATTGTGGTTTCATCTCTATCGTAGCTTTCTGTTGGTCCTTCTGTTTCCGCGGGATGACCCTCCTTCTCAGGGGAAGCAGGGGTCTCAGGAACATCACCAATCTCTTCTAGACTGGCAGCTTCTATGTCCGCTTCTTGGGCAAACTCGACAGACTCCTCCTCCTCCTCCTCCTCTTCTACTTCTTTCTGGCCAGCAACACAAGTGGCCGGTGCCTCAGGTGGAGCAGAGAAACGAACGCTGTGTCCCGGTTCTTCTGCTTCATCGATGGTCTGAACCACAGTAATAAAATCATCTTCAACTGTAACCACAGACTCGATGGCAGCGTGAGTCTCTGGCATCTCCTTTTCGACAGCTGCCCCTGCTCCAGCTTTCTCTAACATTTCTGTCTCAACTTTCCCTTGCTCTGTTTCAGCCTCCGCAAGTTTTTCAGCCTCTTTCTCCATGGACTGAGTGGTTTCATTTTCCTCTGGTTGTCTTGATTCTCCCTCAGGCATTCCCGCAACCCCTTTCTGCATCTCAGCCACTTTCTCTCTTTCTTCCTTCTCTATCTTTTCTTTCTCCTCCTTCTCTTTTAGTTCCTTCTCTATCTTTTCCTTCTCCTCCATCTCTATCTTTTCCTTCTCCTCCTTCTCTTTTAGTTCCTTCTCTAGCTTTTCCTTCTCCTCCTTCTCTTTTAGTTCCTTCTCTATCTTTTCCTTCTCCTCCTTCTCTTTTAGATCCTTCTCTATCTTTTCCTTCTCCTCCTTCTCTATCTTTTCCTTCTCCTCCTTCTCTATCTTTTCTTTCTCCTCCTTCTCTTTTAGTTCCTTCTCTATCTTTAGTTTTTCTTCCTTCTCTATCTTTTCTTTCTCTTCCTTCTCTCTCAACTCTTTTTCATTTTTTTCTTTTTCCTCTCTTTCCTTGTTTTCTTTCTCAACCTTTTCCCTCTCTTCTCTTTCTTTCTTCTCCTTTTCTTCTTTCTCTTTCGTCTCTCTCTCCACTCTCTCCTTTTCTTCTCTCTCCTTCTTTTCTTTCATCTCCTGCTCTTTCTGTTCTCTCTCCCGTTCTCTTTCTTCATTCAGTATTCTCTCTGCTTCTTCTTTCTCTTGCCTTTCCCTTTCTTCTTTTTCCTTCAATTCATTTACTTTCTTTTCGGCCTCTTCCCTAATTTTCCTCTCTGCCTCTTCTTTTATTTTCTTCTCTGCTGCTTCTTTTTCTTCGATATTAGTTTTTTCTGAAACCTCTTTCTCTTTTTCCTCTTTGTTTATTCCCAACACTGGTGAAGGTGTTCTTTTCGGGGAACCATACACTTCTCTTTGTTTAAGCTTGGAAGGTGAGAGCACTGGAGAGAGCAACTTGTCATCATCAATATTGCTCTCAACAGATGAAGCAGGTGATGTTTTGACAGGCCTTGCAATTCTGTCCTTAGCCACACCAGTCAGCTGATACACATCTTCGGCATCCACTTCCTCATAAGCCTCCTGGTGGACTAACTTCACCTTCTCCCGAAGCTCCCGGAGTTCTCTCTCCTCCTCCATACTGAGTGGCCTGTCCTCCATCTCCAATTTGCGGATTTGCCTCTCATAATCAGCAATCTCAGTTTCTGATGCTGAGCCTTCACCACTGGCTTGCCTTTCAATGTCACTCATTGATCTCCCACCTTCTTCTAGTGTCACTGTAACTGTTGGAGTTATGAAAGCCTCACTGAGCTGAATAGCTAGGGTCTCACTTTCAGGTTTATTTAGCTGATAATCATCAACCTTTGTGGCCTGTTCATCAGCAGAATCTTTTCTCTCTACTTGCATCTGACCTTTCTCTTCACTGATGTTTGCGTCGCCTGATGGCTGAACATTGTCCTCCACAGATGAGTCTCTGACTGCCATTTTCCTTGCCTGCTCAGCCACTTTCTCCTGCAGGATAGAATGGGTGAAGACTTGTGAAGAAGTGTCTGTAGGGCTGAACACATCTGCAGGTGACGGCATTGGCCCCGAATATTCGCTGAAGACACAGTAGCCCATCTCTTCCAGCTGGCTATCACTCTTTCTGGTCCCAGGACTATGTTCCCCAGAAACAAAGCCAGCCAGTGGGTCATCAGTAAAAGCAAGAGCCTCAGCTTGAATTGACTTTCTTCGTGAGATATCTGGTTCAGTATTTTCTGATGCTAGTCTAGAACGGGTACCAGCAAGGTCAAGCATTTCAGGCAAGTCTTGTGCCATCACAGTGCCATTTTTATAGGCACCTTGAAGGGGCTGCGGTGATTCTGGTGACCCTGGTTCAGGGCTGGGTTTTGAAACGGGTTCTGTGGTCCTTGGAGGAGATGATGAATCTGAAGTGACGGAAGCAGCAGTCTCCAAGATCAATGGGGGGAAGGATGGAGGCTTTTCCACTGATGGTGTAGTGACTGGAAGGTAGTCTGCTGACTCATCGAGACTTCCACTAGTGTAGGACATGATATCCGTGGCTAGTGGGGAGAAATTTCTAAGTTTGCCTTGGCCACCTTGATCCATTGTTCCAATGGTGATATTCAATGAGTAACTCCTCTGCTCCAAGGCCAGTTTACCAGGAGAAAGCCTGCAATCACTGCTCCTATCAGGAACAGTAAACACTCTACTGTCTTCTGTACTTTTAGTTTCTGGTTTATTCTGGTCTTCAGCTAGTGTGTGGTAGCTGATTTCATGAGGCTTGGAATCACCTTTCTCCTCACCAGCTCTGCTCAGTTCATAGTAGCCCTCGCCCTTACTCTGTGGAGCCTCATCAACCTCCATTGCTGATGTTTCAAAATAAGCTGACATGCCAGATCGGTCTCTTTCGTCTCTCGTCTGGTCTGCTCCTTGAACTTTGTCTCCCACTAAAGAGAAAGCAGAGGGAGAACCAAGGCTACTGAACTCTACCACCTCCACTGATGGCTGTTTCTCTGACACTGTGATCGGCTCACCATATGTAGGCTGAAGTGTTAGTGATCTTGCAGATTCTTTGGCTTGGTTTTGTACATTCGGAGGTACAAAGGATGGCATATCCATGGTGGGGCTCTCTGGTACAACTCGTTCACCGGCAAAGAACCCTTGGACCTGGGGCTCAAATAACTCATCTGGACGTTTCTCTGATCCGATGCTGTCTGGGCTCATGGAACCACTCTTCTCGCTGCCCTCTTTGTCCATCTTCAAAGCTGAAACGACATCTGTAAGTTGGCTGTTCTTATCACTGTTGAAAATTAATGCTTTGGCATGCTGCGAGTGGAATAAATATTGAGCCAGGAATCGAAAAGCCGTTAAGAGAACAGAAACAGGCAAAACTCTCCTCAGAAACTTACAGCACAATGATATGGCCATCACTGAAGAAGTACGACGGAGTTATGGGGTCCACCAAGTCACAGATGGATGAAAATATGGCATGTGACGGATCGGCATGAGGCTGTGATGCTGATTTATGGGTAAAAAAAGGGCAATAGTAGATGGGATGGATATCCATGCAACTCTTCAAAACATATGTTACTAGCAACATAGCATTTCTGTCAATCTTTGTTTGTACATTGATATTTTCTGAGAATGTGATCAAATTTATATTGTTAAATATTCACAAATACTTAAAGGGATACTTCAGCCATTTGCATTAAGCTTTGTATCATTAGAAACCTGGTAGTATTTTTGAATGGTCGTTCATCCCGCCCTCATTTTCCCCTTAGAAGGGAAAGCTCTTTTCTGAAAAGGAGCCTCCGATGACGCAAAAATCGGCATTTTGCGTCATAGGAGGCTGCTTTGTTTAGAGGGGGTCAAAGTACATCACTAGTTCCTCATGTATTCAACCCGCCCATAGGGGGTGGGACCCACTGAAGCTACAGACCTATTACAGATCAGTGGGTTCAAACTGATATAGATGAAGGGGATTTTGAAGGTCTTGTGCTCGAATCGGATGTTCAGGGATATCTCTGAGGCTGATGGAAGAACAGGGGTTAGCTGCTGCAGCCGAGCCACAAGACCTGCCTGTCAGCGGCGGTGACGACGAGGAGCCGGCTCGAGCTTGGGCGGAGCTGTGCATTCTGGGAGTTGTTGTCTTTCATCCATATGAGCCAAAAAGACACTGTCTGCCTTTTCTCGGTCAAGAAGGCACCAACATAAAAATTTATTTGAATTTCTACTACACATATGATCTAATTTCAATACAAATTAATGTTTCAACCGGTGAAGTATCCCTTTAAGAAACTCTCTGGCGAATGACAGAAATGACTTACATTGTCAATAAATGCAGTAAAATAACAAAAATATATGACCTTCACATTTTCTGGCAATGTAATAAAGTTGATGAGACAGTTTCACCATCACTCAATATGAGACAGCCAACATAAAATCCCTTGCATATAATATACACAGAATTGTGATAAAACATAAGTAATCAATCAGGTATGATTGAGCAAGTTTGATTCAAAGTTAGGAAAACGGTCATATCACTGCCACACCACCACAAAGCCATGTATTTACAATAAAAAAACCTGTAAGCTTAAAGCCGGTGAAAAAAGAGCGGTCACATTCAGCACATCTGCACTATATTATAAATTGCGAAATGGCCAGCCCCGAAAAACCACAACACAAAAAAGAAAATACAAGCGCGGAGATAGAACATAATAAAACCAGGTTAAGTTAAAAGAATATGACTCTTTCACCATCAAGCCTGTGTTGCCTTGCAGCCACAGCAGAGCGCAGAGAGGATTACTTGCCATTCCACCTCAATCATAATGCTTATGTCATACGCTTATAGGTTTGTTATAAAGAAACAATGCAGTTACATGCAGGCAGGGAGAGCAGAGGGCAGGACACACCTGTGTCAGGGCTCTCCTCAACCTCTGCTTCCTCCTCCATAGAGATTTCTGCAGCAACAATAGCTGCTTCTGCCGGCTCCAGGTCTATATCCTGGGCCTCACTTATGGACTCTGCCTGCTCTAAGGGCTCAGCTTGGGGGCTGTCCAGCTCGGGCTCTTCCCCGCTCCACTGCTGCTCATCAAGAGCTGTCTCGGACTCTGCTGCCTCTGCACTCTCCTCCTCCTCCTCCTCATCCTCCTCCTCTTCCACCTCCTCGTATTCAGCTGTAAGAGCTTCCATGGTCTCTTCTTCTCATAAAACAGGGTGAGAGGGGGACACATCAATACTACAGGCAACACAGACTTGGGTTATGAGAACACAACTTACGATGGGACACTTCCAGCTCTGGGAAAAGATGAACTAAAGTGTATTGTCTGTTCACACATATAGGTACATTACACATACAGTACAGCTTGTTGTGTGTGTTGTGTTTTGAATTGATTTTCTTTCCATGTCTTATTTTAGTTATTAGTGTACCAAGTACTTTAAAACTATCAATCTATACTTGTAGGAGTCACACATGAAATTCTTTAATTTCTCAAAATCTTTTTATTTTTGTTATTGCTATGAAAGAATAATCTGTTTTGTGAAGAATCTGAAAGTACTTTTCTTCTCTCTTTCTCCTTCACACACCTTTACAGCAACCCGGAATGAAACACAATCATTGATGACTGAGGTTGTTCCAGGAAAACAGAACCGTGCTGAAGTAATGGCACTTCATAATCAAAAATTGCGCAATTGTTGAAGCAACACTATTCACAAAACATCTGAGTTTCTATGCACTTCAGAAGATTTTTGAGAAGTTTAATGAGCTTAATGTAGCATTCTTAGTCTCAAAAATAGTTACAGGTATTTGAAAATGTAATTAAATAAAGGGGTGCTTTGGAAGAAGACAGAGACATTACACTATCTTCTATATCTGATATTAAAGCTTCACAGCCAAATATTTTTCAGGGATAAAATAGAGGGCAAGGTTGTATAGTCGTGTAATCATAAAACACTAAGGTCCCAGGTTACCTATGTAGATCTTAGAATTCATTTTCTTAAAGATGCTGGCTATGTCTTGTGTTTAAAGAAAACAGAGAAGATGTTTTTTAAATGCAAGTCTTTGTGAGTGTGGGGAGCTGAAAGTCTTTCTTGATGTCACAGTGAACCTATGAGAGTAGTTAAAGAGGAGTGTAAGGGGCTTGACATGGAGCAGCACGATTAAGAGGGTAGGGGGCATCTTGAGGAATAACCTCAACTCTGGGAGATTCATGTTGAATCACTCTATTTCTGAAAATACATGAAAGCCGTTTGGACATGAACCAATGTCACAAAAGAGATTTTTAGTGGCCATGTGGTCTTGCTGATGAGAACTGTAGTGTTGTTCAGCCACTGAATGAATCACAATGAATGAATTACAAGGAAAAACATTGTCCTACTTAAAAGACAGCACTGCTATGTGTTGGGCTAAACGGCATGGCAACCACAGGTAGCAATGGCTTTGGGTGAAACTTGAAAATAAAGAAATATGACTGCTAAACAAATATGAAATTGCTCAAGTTTAGAGCAAAACAAACCTCACAGGGACACAAAACCACACACAAGACTGATGAAGAAAGACGGACGGACGGACGGAGAGACGGTAGGGATGGAGTGAGAAGGTCAAATCACAGAAGAAGGAAGGGAAGTTGTTAAAAGGAGAAAGGAAAGAAATAGAGTGATAGAGAGAGAGGAATGGAGGGGAACATGAGAAAGAGGAACCATGCGTGGTTCACCTTCAATCTGTCTAAAGGCCACGGCCTGCCCTGTGGGGCGTGAGCCCGAGTGCGTCCACTCTGGGCTGAACAATGGGTGATCATAGTACTCCTCGTCGGAGTGGTAGGGGTCGTCCTCAGGCACGGAAACTGAGATGGAGGGGGCGAGGAACTTGCACCTCTCCCGCGAATTTTGGAAGCGGCGGAGAGGCCCCGCCTCCTCCTCATCCCCTACATCTACAAACAAGACAGACACAAGGAGAAGAACTGCAGGGAAATCTCGACACAGGGACTGAAAGAGAGCGAGGAGTGAAGAAAAGATAAGAAAGAAAACGGAAACAATAAAAGAAAAAAACCAAACACAGCAAAGAATGTCCATGAAAAAGTAGATTAAACATAACACTAAGGTCCCTATCTTAGACCTGCAGTAAAACAACAACTGACTATGTCATGTCCCAACTGACACAGTTATCATTCTGAAGGCCAGCCTCCACATTGGATCAGCAAAAATTGAAATTAGTGTGTGTAAAATGTAAGGTAGATAGATTCATAACTTCTTCCCCTCTCCTTGTTACGCACACAAAGTATCGTCTCAAGTTAGTAGCCCATCAGTGACATCAAATTGTTAATAGTAAAAGAAAATTGTGGATATGTCAAGCTTGCCTGACTTTATTGGACTACTTTCAGTATTGACTAACAGTTCTGGGGCTGCCAAAAGACAAGGACAAGCCTTCTCCCTGCCCTGCTTTACCTTAGGGAGATTCCTGCTTAAGTGCTACACTGGCCAAAAAGGGAAGTTATGCCACTGTGCCTCGAGCGTAAGTGTGAGAAACCTCTCTCCTAAGGACAAGGTACCATTTTTGTTTGTGCTACGGAGGGATTCACAGCAGTAGATCCACATATTGCCAAATATACACAGCGGCCCGTGTGGGTTTAAGTATAGAGGGGCACATTTCACAGAGAGAAGGTTAAACCATCCTTATCAACAGAAGTGCACCGAATGCAGGCACACCTGACTTTCAAAAGGATGGGAGGTGACACGAATTGTTTTCACTCATATTAAAAACCTAAACACAATTAAGAAAAGTCAAGCGACTTGTGACATGCACTTAAGACCATGTGACCACATCTTGAGATCTAGTTCTATATCTTACAGAAGAACAAAAAGGTATTTGACAGGAAGCACAAGGGAAAGGTAGTATTCTATTGCCACAATGAAATGGACCAGATGTAATACATTTTCTTCCAGCTGCAGCAAAAATATCAAAAACGGGACAAAAGAGCTCTCACAGTGACCTTGACCTTGGACAACAAAAACCTGATTAATCCAAGTTCATCCTGAGTCCAAAGTTGACATTTGGGTCCCATTTGGAGATATAGCCTTCATGCATACCCAAGATACACCTGTTTACTGATAACTGAGCCCTTCACTTGCTTTCTTAATTTACGTAACATAAATTACTTTTACCAATGGACATTTTTTAAAGTGAAAAGGGAAATAAAGGTTAAGGAGAAAAAAAAAAGAAACAAATTCAAAATAGGCAACAGAGAGAATCACCAGAGAGGGGAATGCAAGAGAGGACAAGGCTTGGTTGTGAGCAAGACAAATATAAGACACAAGACATTGACAAGGAGACATTGACAAGCAAATCAAAGGTGACAAAGCTTTGGGGGCCAGCCATACTCTGAGACAAACAAAATGAGTACAAACGGTTTCACGCAGGACTGTTTCGACCTAAAAGACATTCAACACGAGGAATTGAACACTTACAGCGGTTATAGCACTTACACAGCAGCTGATGTAGCAGTATGACAATCTACAAGTATTTTTCTGCCACTATCATAATTAACCTCTCAACCTTAACCAACACTGGCATTCAGCCAAATACAACAACTACTCATGATTTCAACACAAACTGAAAACCACTGTGTAGTTAAAAAAATAAATTATATTACACCATCTCTAAGGTCCTTGTAGTTCTTATATTGTATCATCACCACTAAAACAACAACTTGACAACCAATTTAAGCTCTATACTAGTCTGGCTGGTCAAGAAAAAAACAACCTGTGAACTTCTTAATGATGACTTTTGAACCCTTATATTAGTCTTATCTTCGTATACTACACACAAGTAAGGTTGTTATAATGCTAATGTCAATGAAACCGACAATCTGTATTTGGAGCATGGCTCATCCGCCTACAGACACTCCTCCTTAAGTTCCATCCCTTTCAAACTTACTTGACATTTGAAATCTTAAACACATAAGCTTTTTAATCACATCATACACCTAGTTTGAGCCTGAATCCCCAGATAGGCTTACTAGCCTATCAGAATGATTTGGTTAATCTAGACAGCATATTTAAAATGCTAATATAAGCTCATTTTCTAACTTGTCTTCAATCTTAGCCAGAGAGTCTCTTGGCTTTAAGCAATTTGAAAGAGCTAAGGCTCTAATTAGTAGCCACAGCAGAACACATACAAAAAAGACCGACAGCGGACTATGATAGGAAAACACACCATGATTATAGACATGCAAAATGAATTACATAATTCAACCAAAAAGACAGACAACGTGAAGTTAAAGGGTCACCTAAATTGGCTGTCATATTAGTTTTGTGAGGTGACTGCAATGTGCAGAGGTTAGAAAGGGAAATGTAGATGATAAAAAAGAGCACACTTGTTATAACAAGGTGGTCATGCATTTGAGCTCTTCTTTCTTTCAGAGAAAAATGGTTGATGACAAAGAAGATACAAATTGTATCCGTTCCAGGTGCATGATAAGGAGGAGGAAGTAGGATTTCAGAAGAAATGGATGTTTGAATAATGGAGAACGTGTTCCTGCTTTTTGCAACTTCTGTTTGTACATGTTTTCAATAAGTGGTTTGTCTCATGAAGGTGGTGCCTGTTCTGAGAGAGGAGATGTAAACGTATGCCCCAGAGCCACATCAGTGCCCCAATGTGGTGCAGATTAGAAAACTTAAGAAGCTTCAGTCATGGGCAAGACGGAAGACACACCCTCCTCCATTAGAGGCGTACTCTCGTTAATGCATCTTCTGTTCCTTGTTTTCTTGGCCTACCTTGTTCCAGAGGACCAAAGTGTTCTGCCGCAGGCGAGGGGGGAGGAGAGGGAGGCAAATTTGTGGTGTCTTCAACTATGGGGGAAGACACAGTGAGATGGAGAAAACATGTTTAAAAAATTGAGTTGTTTTTTTTATTTGTATACAGAAGATGAAATGAACAATAAGTTGAAACTGATTTAGGAACCAACAAGCAAATGCAACCCTGTCATACAGTCACTCAGCTAAACTGCACAACACACTTAAATCTGGATTTCTCGTTGCAATATTATGGCATTGTCTGACTTATGTTGGTCAGTATACACAAAAAAACATGCAGAAAAATCTCACATAATCTTTTTTATTCACATTTGGTTCTTCCTCGTTAAAACCTGATGCTTGTTTTATCCACACCTTAAAAGACAGTTCAGTTTGAGTTCCAGGTGTGTTTTACTAAAAGCTTCCAACATAGTTTAAAGTCCCTTTATCACAGCAGAAATGAAGACCTGAGGAAGTTGTGATTTACTAAAATCATTCTGACTGTTCCTCCCTCACCTCTAAATTGCATTTGCTCCATATGACACTGACTCAGGTGGCTTGAGGCAATTTTCCCAATTTTAAATATCTTTAATTGTCCAAGAAAAACCCATGTTTAGTTTTTACTCATGTCTTCTTCTATTGTTGATAAGTAAATGCATGACAACATCAACATTTAACTGACTTCCTCTCCCCCCTGCATTCAATTGCAAAGCATCCTGCAACACATTTTTGTGCCATTTGCAATTTGGTGGTTTTTACAAGCTGTCGATGCTCTGCAATATTGCTGCAACATTCACCTGGACAGCCTGTTAGCAAAAAAAGAGTTTAAGGGTTTTGAGTTTGGGCTCAAATGTAGCTGGGGATTATTATAATCTCTACCCAGTCTCTGCTCTGCTGAGCTTGTTGTATGCTTGCTGGGTATTTTGTTGACTTTGTAAACATGCTGTCTTTCCAATATTTAGAATTTTCAGACCTTGCTTGTGAGTGTGACATTTAGTGTAAGGAAAGTTCTATAGGTGAACAACTGACTCTCTAAGACTTGAGACCTATCAGTATGTACCCCGTCCAATCCAATGCTTGAAAGGCTCCAGTCCCCTGTGACCACATGATGGAGGAAATAATGCTGTAGATAAGAGCTTTTACAAGTGTGTGTGTGTGTGTGTGTGTGTGTGTGTGTGTGTGTGTGTGTGTGTGTGTGTGTGTGTGTGTGTGTGTGTTATGCTTACCTGACGGCAGCCTTTGAGTCTCCTGCTCTCCCTTTAATACTGCCACTGCCTCTGCTGTCACTTCCTGCACGATCCGTGCTGACACTTGCTCTGAACAAAGGTACAAAAAACATTGAAATCAACTTAATTATTTAAAAAAACATTTAGACGAAGGGGAAGGAATTCATTTAGGTTCAATTCAATGGTGTCTGTTTTCTTTACTATTATTTGACCACAAAAGCATTGATCTCCACCTGAGCAGACACATACCTCTATCAAATTGTTTATTTTTCCATCTCCAGTTATAGTTAAATTAGCTTTAATTTTTGCCTCTTGAGGGAATTAAATACTTTGTTCTTAGTGTAATCAGAAGCACATGAAGTTAGATGTACAGAAGATCTAAGATTTCTGAGTTAGTAACTACATTTACCTTGGTATGGATTTATGAAAAAGACTTCCCATCAAGTACATGTCTGAACATTTGCATGTACTGTACAGTAGGCATAGGTATTTCTTATTGTCTATTGAAAAAGTAATAAACATGTTATTTTCAAATCACACACTGGCAATTATTGTTTTCTCAGTTACATTGGTGAGCCTATCAGTATTTAGCAGAAAAGGTTGAATCAAAACGTACTGTCTCAAAACGCACCGAATCATTCTTTATTTTAATAAATTGTCCCCGAATAGAGTCGCAGTCCCAGAGATTTAAATCAACTCCAATCATCTTGTAAAGGAGATATAAAGCCACCTATTACTAAGTCCACTTTCAGAGAAAATATTCATATTTTTCTCAAAATAAGGGTATCATCTTCCATTCATTACATAAAAGATTATTTTTAAATCATATTGTCCTAACCTGAAATGAAAGCCAGTGTGAGGGAGCTGAAATTGTTTCCATACCTGCAGGGAAGCTAGGGCTGCTGGGGGAGGCTATGAGTGTCACCATGGAAACCCAGCTTCATTAAACAAGTGCAGACTAAAAATGAAGCTGAAACTAGAAGAGAGTGAACAGTGTGGGATCTTATTTCTCAAGATGTATTTGTTGTATCATTTTAATCACGGTATGCTTTGTTATTTATCAGGAAAGTGCACTCTTTAAAGCTTCAGGAATATCTGCATTTTACTGATCTTCAGAGATCATAATTCACACACACACACACACACACACACACACGCACATGCACGCACACATACACATATATATGCTGTCAAATGATTACCATTTTAAATCCCAATTAGTCTGTAAATTTCAATAGTTAATCGTGGTTAATCACATTTTTAATGTTTAATGTTTGATATTCTTTTATGTCTTAAGCTGAGAGTACTTTACTTGCTGTTTGAATTCAGCCCTTCTTTCATATAAAATAAAGTAATGACCTTCTGGTGGATCAAAGGTTGCAACATTAGCAGAACAGAAAAAGGACCTCATTACGGATCTAAAACTAAATAAAAACAGCTAAAAGAAATGCTAAAAACAGAACTGTTTAATTTCATGAGGTGGATTTTATGACTCGTCATATTAAAGTGAAATAACATATTCAAAGATGCAACAAAGTCTTCTTTAAACAGTTAAAAGAAAATGGCCAGTGCTGTCTGATGGTGTGAAACTGGTGGTCAGCCAGAGCTAAATGAGGACAGCGCTGTGGGCAAAAGGCTAAAGCTTACAATCGCAGCAGAACATAAATAAAAAAGGAAATGGGCTCTGACAATGAGTGAACTCATTTTTTAATTTAGATTCTCTTTGGTCTCAAATTGAGGGGGCAAACAGGAATAAGTTATCTTCTCTAACGGTTTGTAGATTTAAGCTTGCATTTGTCTTCCTGTCTATATGTTTGGATCATTTTAAATACTGCCTGGCACACAGAGGGGTGCAGAGCTCTAATCAAACCAGCTTTCATTTGCATAGTTACAGTGGTTATGTGGGATTGGGTGACGGTGTGATGCTTCTACGGCTGCTGTTTCAGGACCTTATTCTATCCAGCATCGCCCACGCACCAACACAAACAAGCCGGCTGGCATACACACGCATGCAATTACACACATACTTGTACACACTTCTTCCTGGAACACTTGACACAACCCACTCACCAACTCAAAGCAACCATTTCCCATTTTCAATAGCAAAGTGCAACCAACGTCAACCACCTATTCACTGCAGCCATGTAAAATCCTGTCATCCAATAATTACAGAAGGGCTAAAGAGTGTAAACGTTGGCTTCTAATCAATGGAAGTGACATCAAACAACTAAAAACAGCCCCTAACACCTTAAAGCTGTCGATTTGTGTGAACTTTCTCGGTTAAACAACAACTTCAAAACACTCACCTTTGCTTACGTAAAATATGTTAAATAGGTCAAATGTTCTTTGTTGTTCAGACAGGAGTTCTAATCTCTAGAGAGAGCTACAAAGCACACAAAAAACAGCTTACTGAATGAAATCAGCTCCAAACGTTCTCAAAGAAAGAAACACACTCATGCAGATGCTGACTGAAAATGTATCCTGATATTGCTGACCAACTTTTATAAGAAAGTTGATGATCAGGGAGAAGCTCCGTACATCATTTCATGCAAAAGTTATGTTTAGTTTAAATAAGAGGACCAGTAGAAATGGGCTGATGCCATTTCAGGAAGAGCAGTTCTGTAAGCTCATAAAGTCTTTGTCTGAATCACACAATAGCAGAATCTCCGCTTTCTTTATTTCACACTGACTTTATTATTCACTGTTGTAACATTCAATTAATGAAGCCTCTGTGGATTATAAGCCTGTCTAGTGTCATAGTTGATAAAATATTATTGTTTAAATAAGACAAAAGCACTGTCTTAAGAACATCTTCAGAAAAATGTAAATAATGATTGAATGAATTAGAGAAGATCCAAACTGGACAAGCTCACTGTTACTGCACATCGGCTTCACAGATGGCCTTGTTAGGATTAAAAAAAACAACATAAAAACTCTGTCCAGAAATGCACATTCACAAAGATTAACGTTGTGAGAAATGACCTTGTCACACCCACGACGCTTGCAGACAGTGATGACAGTGAGACTGTTCTCAGCATTTGTCTGACAGACTGATGTCAAATGACACAGCAGTCTGCCTTCAGTTGACTGACAGGAGAACAAACAACATGAACAAATAAAAGGCTTTGATACACAGTTAGGTTGCAATATGTCTGCATATAGATATCTAAAGTCAAATATAGCTACAAACACGCTCTCCCAATGAAGTAAAAGCACGTATTACCTGTGTGACAGGCAGATTGAAGCTGAGAATGCTCCCTCTCTGTGAAGAGACTACGACTGGAAACCCAGAGTCATCGCAATATACAGCCAGACTCACAAACACACACGGAAGCACATGCAGCAGGACTGAGAGGGCTTAAGTGTTTGGTAAGACACAAGCCAGCACCCAAAATGTGTAGAGCAAGATGTTACCATAGCAACAGACTGGTGAACCATTAATTTGGGCCCAATTTAATTCAGATGCCAGCACCAAGTTGTCTCAGCCTTTCTGTCTCTAGCCTCCAATACTGAAAAAAATACATCCGTCAAATGACACAAAAATGAATGAATTTATTTTATTAACATGTTCCATTTTTGGAGGCTCAATCTCATCGGATTGTGATCTAAGTGGAAAATAGTAATTATTACCATTTAATTTGATAAGTGAAAGTTAGATCTTGCCGCATATAATTTGGACACTTAAAAAGTCAACAAAAACATTTTTAAAAAGCAGGCAGCCTCATTCCCAGGATCTTAATTGACAGGGGGGGTATGTCATTTTATTTTATAATAGACTGCTGCATCTGTTCTTTTTAATTTTCCTGTGAATACATCTTAGTGTCTCTTAAATAAAGATCTGTATCACATAATTATAAGATCTGCATGATGATGAAGTCTGTCATCCTTATCTGTCCTCCTCCCCTCTCCTGCAGTGTATACTGTGGCAACCTTCACTCTGTCAGGAAGCTTTTACTATATTGAATTCAGACATTGTGGTTAAAGAAGAATCCCTCAGTCAGTTTAAGCACAACCGTGTAAAACAAAACTTCAGCATCATCACTTGGGAAAACGTTTTGGTGACCTGAATGTTGAATTGATTTATGCCACATGTCTACAAAGTTTGAACATCAAGTTTTTCTTGTACCATTTTTGCTCAATGAAAAATGCTCTGATGCAACAAAAGTTGTTTGATTGGTGGTACTGAGAATGTTCCCATCTTAGCTACTGAGTTGTTTTAACATATGATATATGATACATATGATTTAATATTATGGTGCCATGGATCTTCCTCTGTTAGGGGAAGATGCATCTGATCAACCATTGCTTGATTAAAATTACTCTTATTTCCATGTATAGTTACTTACTATTTCATTTGCCAGATTCCTTCATTTAAATTCTTGTAAATTATTATACAGTCTTTTTCCATTTTTAATTAAGACTCCTCTGTGTATATGACATGTATAATTAACCTCATCTTAAAAGAAGAGTCATTCTTTAAGTGTCATCCAACTCATTTTCGTGAAGTTTTTTTTTTTTTTGCGTCACTCCAAGAAAAACTGTGACATGTGTCACAGCTCTTTGGGCAGAGTCGTGTTTTTTTGATATGGAGGGGGAAAAAAATATTCAAAGGTGCACCAGTAGCAAAGTGGTTAGTGTGCACTACCCATGTATGTAGGCTGCAGTCCTCCAAATTGGCAGCCGGGGGTTGAAATCCGACCTGTGGTTACTTTCCCGTATGTCGTTCCCTGATTACTGTCCTATCTCTAAAGTAAAGGCAAAAAAAGGTCCAAAAATAAACCTTAAAAAAATTGTGCAAAGAGGTTTTTAATCTGCAAGGAAATGCCAAATCAAAAGGGACTCGACTAGCTCTAAAATGTTTATCTTCCTAAGGTTTTTGAGTACTTTTTCACATGTTAAAATTTACAAAATACTGGATGGATAAAATCCGCAAACACTATTTGATCTAGGATACTTTTTACAAAATACTTTTTTTTTCATTTACTGATGGATCTAAGTTAATTTAGCCTATATTTTATATTCAGACAAACTCAGATGTAACATTTTTTGGTGAATTATTCTCCAATATGTTGGTTGGTTGGATAAGATAAGGCACTTAAATAGTAAAAATAGTAAAAATAATAGTAAAAAATATTGCTCATTACTTGCTTCAGCTCACAGACATCAGTCAATGCAATATCACTTTTACGATACAAGGGTGTCCTCAAAATGCAAACTCAATCCTTTATACAATAAGCACCAAAAACATTTAATTTTTTCTATTAACTCGCTCAGTTTCTGTCTCCCTCTCTCCATCTACTCTCTTGACCACTTCCAGCATGGCTGACTGGCTTTTTCAACTTCGTCTCAAAGGAAAGTCAAGAGGGCAATTTCGTGCTTGAATAGTTCTCGTTGTGTCTGAAGAGCTTTTCATAGAGAGAGAGAGAGAGAGAGAGAGAGAGAGAGAGAGAGAGAGAGAGAGAGAGAGAGAGAGAGAGAGAGGGCTCACCGAGTGCCAGCATCAGCCCTTCTGTCACCCATCCTGCCCCACTTACACCCCACCCTGCCCTGCTCTGGAGTAATGCTAATGTATGCTGACAAGATGCTCTGCAGACCAAGAAAAAAAACTCAGCTGGTTACACAGCAGCTGAAAGGAAATATTTTCGATGCAGATGATGAGAAAAGTGTTTCGATACACTGCATGACTTTTATTTTAGATCTGTAAAAAGCCTTAGGGATTTCTTTTTCTTCAATAAAGTCACTTCTTTAATGGAGGTATTTTGTAACCGAATTGTAAAATTCTCTCACTTGATCTGCTGATCTCTTGTGGATGACACCTTTGATGTGGTGTTTTCTTTTTTGAGCCTCTGAGTACAAGCCCCTGAGACAAATGATGCATTAAAAGGATTTTACATCAAATCTGACTCAGTTCTTTTTTTTTTAAATACTGAGATACAATCCCTTGCTTTACCCTCTCTGTGGAAAAAAGCCCTGCATTCTTGTTGACGTCAGTTTTAAGCCTTTACTTTGAAGTGAAAAAGAGTCTGTGTACAGCTCATGTCTTTGATACGTGCTAATAATGACCCAGAGGAGCTAATTTGTCGTTTCTAATAACGTAATTACAAACGTAAAAGGGAGCAGTTTACTGAAGCAATGTGACAAGATTTCTGGACAGATAATAGGATATTGTAAAGAATGCAGTGGTAAAGATATATAGATTATTTACTTAAAACATGTTTGAGACAAAACTTAGTTGATTTCACTGTCCCAGTGTCACGACAGTTTCTGGTCTTTTCTTACCAAATAAGTGGAAAAGGTTTGTTGATATTGAAAGAGGCTTAAATACAAGGGGCAATACATAATGTATATACTGTAGGGGCAACGACCATTCTGCACAAAAAGCAATGCCATGCTAAAGCCCACTTCCCACGTCTTGTTTTCCAACAGTCATCAGCATGTCAGCTCCATTTAAGTAAATGAATTATGTGAATAAAATGTGAAAGGGAATTTTTAGCTGTCTTCCTTTCTTGGCAGTCTTGACATGTAATTGTACCTGTTGTTGACATAGACTGTTAATGTAAATATTTCTTGTGTTTGAAAGACCTCGGGGAAAAAAAAAACCCATATGGAATAGGTGAGCTCACCTTTTGAATGATAGGTGTGTTTTACTACCCATACATAAAGTTTACTGGAAACATGTCATTAAATTGGTGGTCACAAATGATTAGAAAAGAATATATAAGCAAAATTGCAGGTCATGGATATTTTTACTTTGTCTTTTTAAATGTTACAGTTCGCTGATTATATTTGGTCATTCTTTGCGATCAAGAATAAATTATATCAAAAATCCCATCCATTCATTCATTCATTCATTCATCCATCCTCATATAAATCGGCTATATAAGTTAATAATGAGTGATCTGACTTTTGCTTCTGTTTTCTATTGTCTCTCAATAAGAATTGTACATACCAATACATTTTTTAAACACTGCTTGACATTAGTGACAACCTCTTTTAAAACATTGGAAATCCCCCATTTCACACAATCACAGTGGGTATGTGAGTACAACGGAAGAGGTCAAAATGCTCCAGCAACACTTGTCGTAAAAAGATCAACTTTATTAACAATTTAGACCGACGCGTTTCGGCTCGTGGCCTTCATCAATAGATTAAACTTAATATGCGGAGATTGGCTAATAGACTATAAAATGGTCAATAGGCACTTGGCAGCCGTGCATGAATACCCGATTTCCATTCTTCCATACTGGTGTTAGTTAAGCCCTAATAATGGGAAGATGAAAGGTTAATTGGGCCTCAATTGCACACAGAAGGGCCTTGTCTTTGGCGAGCTACAGGCAAAATGAACAAACGCGCTGGCAAAGTAAATTGCAGTGGAACCATTTTGGTAGTTACATCACTGGTGCAATTTGCTTTTGTCTCAAAGGAGGGGTCGAGAGAGAGAACTTTACATGTTAATTATAGCACAGTTAATAACAGTTTGTGATTCCTCTAAGCTTTCCAGTGTGCTGCAAACCTACTCCAAAGTACAAAGAGAAGCCACAAAATCACACCCATACACAGAACACAATGACACTGTAAAAAGTCATAGACAAAGCTTACACCTCGAGACACACAAACCCAGAAATGTAGAGAAGTATTACACACATACCCATCCTTAAAAACAAGGACTACAAACCTTTACAAGCATGAGCCTCCTTTCACATGCATCTCAACAGATGTGACATGTACATCTTCTAAAACTGACTACAAACAAATGTATTAACCTTTTCCTAATATCCTGACTATCCATTGGCTCTCATTTGTAATTTAGATTCTTTACCTCTTTTGGAGGTAAACTGTTGGTATATCTATGGGCCTAAATTTAGTTCTGCACTTGCCAATACTGGATCTGACATACATCAACATTAGATGTTTTTGCTGATATAGTAAAATGCAACTCTGAGGACCTTCATTGATATTTTATTTTTTACATGAATCATTTGGACTTGAATCATGCATCTCATTTACATTCACATGTCCAGGGTTGAATTTAAGTTAAAATTATAAAACACTTTAATGGTACTTGATGCAGTAACACATTTGCTGTGCAAGGTCAAACCGGCAAATATTATCTTACCTGCAGTTACAGCGTGAGCACCAGTTAGTTCCCCATTGAAGCCGTTCTCCCTGGTGGGGTAAGGTGTGTGGGTCGCACCAGGCTGACAGGTCCTGAAGGTAGAAGAAGAGAAGCCATTGGCTCCGGTGGGCTCCTGCCCCCCTGATGGGTCCCATTGGGGGGCACCGTCTTCTGGCTGCCGACTGTCTGCCATGCTGGTGCTAGCTAGCAGCAGTGGAAGGTGGACAAGGGATGAGGTTTCTCCGTCTGTCTGAATGATATGAAGGGTAAGAAGGAGAAGACGTGAGGTATTGTCCAAACTTTGCATGTCAGTGTTAATAACTGTAATGTTGGCAATGAGTCATAGAGGAGAATGAACACAAGGCTCTAGGATACACTGCATCAGTCACATTCACAAATCTGTTTTCGTCAGTCGTAATCCCTGCAGCCTCACTGTCAACAATCCTTCAAGTGTGTTCGTGTTTGTGTGAGTTTGTGTGTAGGAGGTTGTGTAAATACTGTCCTTGGACATTCACGGCCAGGTGAAAGAACACTGGATTAAACCCTATTGATTTGTGTGAGTATGTGTGTGTGTGTGTGTGTGTGTGTGTGTGTGTGTGTGCGTGTGTATGTGTGAGTATGTGTGTGTGTGTGTGTGTTTATTGCGTTATATAGCCTCTAACCCAGGTGGAAATCACAAATGGCTGAAAATGAACACAGCAGGCGTTGGATTTGTGTGACTCGTGCAGGGTTGCGTGGATGTAACTGGGGCTCTGATCAATCCAACAAGAACCAGTGTAGTTTTACAATTAGCAAGCCTTTACAGCATGCTGTCTTATTTAATCTGATAAAACCCCAGTAGATTTTCTATATTGCTTAAAATTTCAAATGGAGAAAGGGCATACAGATCTGTACAACAGCTATTTCAAGTGTTGACAATAACCTCATACCTAGGGCTTACACGTCCTTTATATGAAATCGCACGCTGAGTGGGAATGGTCAGAACAGCATGGACAGGAGCTCAGGCAGAGACAGAAATATTGATCAAAGAGCTGTCAGATTCAATGATCTCTTGGACAGTATTTGGCAGAAGGTTGGAGAAGCATATGAATGGGTCGGATATTGCAAAAAGAAAATCTATACTCCCAGGTTGTGAATGTGCCTTTAACACAGACTGTTCTCCTCTACTGTGGATAATTAAGTTTGATAAGTGCATTGAAAGGTTGATTATATTCTACTTTTCATGAATTGTTCCACAATTATTCTTGAAACTGATATTAACAAAACACATAATTCTGATTCAAGGCAGTTTGAGTCTTTCAATAACAGCGAGAGTGTTGGCCTTCAAACACTCAAACTCATGTGGCCTTTGTGGAGGGAAAAAAACAATTGTAAGCCCACGAGCAAACACAAAAAAAGACAATGCTTTCAAAAGGAATTCATGGTTTTTGCAGGATGTTTGCTGGCTGTACTCTGAGCATTTGCTGAGAAGCCTTTGTAGTTGTACATATTGGGGATGTGTGAAAGAGCAATTTGTCATTTAGCTCTGCAGTCCACAGAGACCCAGTGACTGAAGGGAAGTCTGCTGGAGAGAACAGGAGTCAATAACTGCAGCCTGGGACCATCTTACTGCTACAGTGAGCACTAGTCACTGCATTCACTACATTAACACTACAACTCACTGTCACTGCAAAACCAGCAGAACAAAACTGGTGGAAAACAAATACAATCAAATAGAAAGAAGATAATTAAATGATGTTTTCCACCAAGAATTACAACAATACTTTAACATATCTGTGTTTAGTGTGTTTGGTGCTTTTTTTTATTTGAATACAAAAGTAGTAGTTCAAATATTGACAGGCTGATCTTCAGTGTATTTTCCATAAAAATGTTTTGCCTAAGTAAGGCAGCAGGCCATCCATGATTCTGAATCAACCATAGTACATTAAGTGGTTAGCAAGCAGGCAGGGAAGCAGATACCTTAAAGTCATGAATAATTGGTTTCGCCATTCCATTTGGCAAGAAACTTCAGCCATACTGAATTACTTGGGCAAAATTGTAACATTGGCTAGCAACATGCTCACATGCAGGACCAATACCATAATTATATTTAGCAAACAAGGTTTTTCATATTTACTGACTTGGTCTGGCCTTTTAGCATGTTAACATTGCTAATAAGCACTAAACACAATGTACAGCTTAGCCTGATGGGAATGTCGTCAGTTTTCCAATCATTTATTTTGAAACCAAAGTGCTATACAAACATACTGACCCTATATCTACCATTGGGGAAACACAATGTTGGTTAAATTAATCATGTTTCAACAAAATCAAATTTTTCATCCACTGCAATCCATCACCTAGATATTCACAATAGACAAAACAAACTCTCTGGTGGTTCTAAAAATAAATGTGAATGAACATCCATCCAATAGTTGTTTACCAACAGAGCAACTGCTAAACATATCCATCCCCAGATCCATTCTGCTTGGGTGGTTGGAAACAGACTTAACCAATTCCATGGTTCAACATGCTTTGTCCTTTCAAGATGTTAAAATATTCTATTTATTTGATTTATAACACTGTCAATAACCAGGTCAACTGAGAGGTGTGTGGTGTTACATAAAAAAGGAAAGGCACCTCTGCAAAAGACTACCAACTACCAGTTAGTGCACAGAGGATCAGAATAGCATTAAACAGCCTGTATGTGTAGAATAGAGCTGAGAAGAATATGTGACGGCCGTAAGCCCTTGAAGCCTAAAGGGATCAGAGTCAGAAGTCAATGGAGCTTTGTATGACTCAGCTCTGAGGGGAACATCAGTATGAATGAAGCCTCTAAAGAGGCTCCACAGCACACAGGACTGAGCAGTCTTCTCATAAAATGCTCACCCTGCCTCTGTCCAAAAGCCCGAGCAGTATATTTTGAAACATCCAACGCATGTTTTGACCCTGCTTGAGCCTCGATTGAAGAGCACTCTCAATAATAAAAGTCATAAAACACAGAGATGAGACAGTCCTGATGCCGTCTGTCTCAGTCTGAAGGTGAAAGTCACATTGAGCTATGTGGCTTATTTCCAGAGCCAGAATCAGGGTGTCACTGCTGGGTCATGAGGATGAAGGGAAGTGTGGCCAGACATCCTGGAGTCCTGCTGTGCTGAAGCTGACAGTCTTCTTTTTAATCAGGAAAAGGAAGTATTACATGTGTGAAAACAGCACCACCTGCTGATTTTAAGCCTGAAAGAAGAAAATCCTTGCTTTTAAAACTCATTATGAAAACTTTGCATGCTCCATATAGGGATTAGAGAGGCATTAGGCACCGTCATCATGTGAAACTACTCCTCCCTCATTAGCCTGAAGCACCAACTGGGGCTGCAATGCAGTGCAATCTCTCAACCCTGATAATTAATATGCCATGCATTATCCCTTTATAAAATAATAATGATTTGATGTCAAAAAGGGAATCACAAGGAGACAAACTTGATGGTGGACGTGTAAAGGGCTGATGACACAGCAGAGGAGTTCATTCAAAATCAGTTTAGATGGACAGAGAAGAGTAGAACATTTTAGATCAAAGACGACCAAACAATCTATGTAGTCCAGATAATAAACTGTCTTCAACGCATTGTATCCAGAGAGGATTGAGACTGTATGAGATGGTGATATGATAGAGTTCGATGTCATTCGTCTCAGTGGACAGCAGGTCTGTTGCAATTGGCAAAAAGCCTTTGGCACTTTGCCAGAGGGATGGTTGAAGCTGATACATTTTCAGTCAGTGCCAGGAAAGGAGGGTATTGAATAGTAAGCAGATGAGCAGTGCTGGTTAGTGGGCACTGCTAATGGTTGACATTTGGGGTAAAAACCTGTAACTCTTTAAAGATTAACAAATCAGTAATCAAATTCTTTTACCATGATCCAGTGCTATATTAGACATTGTTTTAGTTCTGAGTAATTACTGGAAACAGTTTTCCTGATTATGGAGACAGACATCTGGTATATGATTAAATGGTTAAATTCTCAAATGTAGTTATAAAGTGCTCAAACACACATCTCAACATGCATTGATAAATACAGCATTTTGTTACTCTTTGTTTTATATTTCACATCATTTTCTAAATTTTACAAAAAGAGAGCCTTGTAAAATGAACCTTTGATAAGAACTGATGATCTATTCGCTGTAAAAAAAAACTTTAAGAATGGGGTTGAAGATTCAGAAAGCTTGAAAAAGGACCTTTGAGCCAAGCTATTTTTACCCCCAAAAGAATAAACGTATTTGTCTCACAGAAAATAGCTGATTTTAGTTAACTGAACGAGGATGTACGAGAAGAACACACAACTCTCGATATAACTGCTGGGGTCCAAGGTGGCCCAGTGTGCAAGAAAACTCTGACAACATACTGTAACTAGACAATGGAGGAAATGTGATGCTGTGCACTAACAGGTGCACTTAAAAAAGATAAATTGCAGTGCATTGTCCTCTCATGCGCCTTTCATGCTAGAACATGTATTATGAAGTTTTCATAATTCCCTGTGATATCAAAAGTGTTGTAGTTATATTTGTATTATACAACTATTTTAATCTTAACCTTTTTTTTTTTTTTTTACATTTTGAAGATGAATGCATCATGACTTTCTGCATATTGTTGTTGATGTGCTTCGATTATTTTTTGGCCCTGCAACCCCAGACAGTCTGGACCTCCCGCTGCTATGTACAGTCAAAACAGAACACACACAAAGACTTGCATCAATTTGGTATTCCCGTGGCCTTAAAATAGCAGGTGGGCTGTCTGGCTGAAACAAAAACACTGTCCATGAGAAGAACACATTTAAATTTTGATTCGGTACTAAAATGCACTAGCCACTCGTCACATTGCAGGAGGAGCTTGGTTAAGTAGAGATGCATGTTTTTTCCAGAGACTAAAAGAGTCTATTTCTGACCATTGCCTCTACCAGCTTGGTGATGTGGAAACAAGAAAAAGGTCAACATTATTCGAAACACAAAATCCTCATTAAAAGTTACAATGATAGTGACTTTATTTGTCAAGACAGAAATGATGGTGCTGTTTTAATAAACTGAGTGTTTTGTTAGTTTATGTTGTAGCTACAGCACACTGACTAAACACAGTGTTTACTGTTAATTGTGTCGTATCATTACTGTTCAGTTCTGTTCTGCATTGTTCAGGAGTTTAATAAACAAATATGAGTTTTCTTAGCTCAACAAATTATCAAGCAGGGGCTTGCATATATCAGCAGATTGAAGGCTAATTACAGGCT